GGTATATGCGAATTGATCATGGTGTTTGTGAATGAGTGTGAGTATCGGTTTACGAATTTTGTTCCTGTCGCGTAATTTTCGCTTGTCGTTGACGTTTATCGTTTCATTAGTCCCAGGCGGTCGTACTCCGAACGCGCTACCAGTCGGTATCTGTTGTATGTGAGGTTGATCATTTGAAACTTCCTCCCCGGAAACGTCATCTACAAGGGCCTCCCCGGAAGCGTCGGCGTCGGCCGCCCCGGAAACATCGGTGACAGGATTGGTAATGTGTAGTTGTGGGCGGAGGATTGGTGTCAGTGGCATCAGGTAGGGCTCTTCGACTGTAGGCTGTTGATCAAGGACGGATGGGTGGACGTCATTTGATCGTTCATCTTCAGTACGCTGGTGTTGGAAATGTGAAAGCTTGGAGTGACCTTGGCGAGTGTCGTCGAGTTGAAGGAAAGGGAAAAAACTTTCCCTGTACGGAAGTTTTTTCCTCTTGCCACGTGAGGGATGCCTACGTGGCGGATACCACGTGACACGCCCTGGGCCTCAACGCGCGCGCCCTGGGCCTCAAATGTTCTAACCTCAACCACCAGACCCGTTTTCTCCACGAAATGTTTAGCATGTTTCTGGCGTGCCGAGCTCATCCGGCACACGTGGCATACAAGCAGGCGGCACGGGCGGCGCCCCGGCTTCTTGGCGGCCGCCCGTTGCGCGTGGCCCGGCCACACGTGCCCCTCCTTGTGCACCTCGGCGCGTACGCCCCAACGCGGCCGTTTTCAGTGGCCCCCGAACGCCCCCAAAACGCGCCGGCAGTCGGCCCCTCGCGGCGGCACGTGAAAGCGGCCAGCCGCAATGGCCAGACGCCCGAAAGCGGCGCCGAAAGCGGTGCCGTGGCCGCCGGAAACGGCGGCGGCAAACGCGGCGAGCCGCCGGCGCACGGAGCCCCCGGAGAAGCCGGAAAAACCGGCGCCAGAAGCGGGCAAAGCGGGCCCGAGGCCCCCCCAGCAACCCCGCCGCGCAAGCGCTCCGTGTGGGCGGAAATCGCGCGGCTTTTCCGCTTGGCACGGCCCGAGTACGCCACGCTCGCGGCGGCGCTCGTATGCCTCGTGGCCACGAGCGCCGTGTCCATGCTGCTCCCGTTGATCATCGGCAGGATCATCGACACGGCGCGGCAGGCCGAGGCCGGCGGGTCTGGCTTGCCCGGCGCGGCCACGGGCGGCGCCATGGACGTGTTTGGGCTAGCGCCCGAGCAGTTCTACGCGGGCCTCGCGGCGGTGTTTGCCGCGGGTGCCGTGGCCAACTACGGGCGCATCTACTTGCTCCGGGCCGTGGGCGAGCGGCTCGTGGCGCGGCTCCGCGCGCGGCTCTTCGCCAAGATCTTGGCGCAGGACCTGTATTTCTTCGACGTGGGCCCGCGCGGCACGGGCATGAAGACCGGCGACTTGATCTCGCGGCTCTCCAGCGACACGCAGATGATCAGCAAGTCGTTGAGCGGCAACGTGAGCGACGGCGCGCGCGCGCTCATCTCGGGCGTGGTGGGGCTCCTGATGATGTGGTGGGTGTCGTGGAAGTTGACGCTCTGCATGAGCCTCATCTTCCCGCCGCTCATCCTCATGTCCACGGTGTACGGGCGCCGCATCAAGCGGCTCTCGCGCACCATCCAGGAGTGCTTGGGCGCGTTGACCAAGGTGCTGGAGGAGAAGCTCAACGGCGTCAAGACCATCCAGAGCTTTGCGCAGCAGCGCGCGGTGTTGCACAGCTACGACCACGAGGTGCGCAGCATCTTCGCGCAGTCCATGCTGGAGGGCCGCGCCAGCGGCGTGTACTACAGCGTCAACGGCTTCCTCGGCAACACCATGATCGTGGGGCTCCTTGTGGTAGGCTCGCGCCTCATTGCGACGGGCGACATCTCTATCGGCGACCTCTCCAGCTTCATGATGTACGCGGTGTACACGGGCAGCTCCGTGTTCGGCCTCGGCAACTTCTACACGGAGCTCATGAAAGGCGTGGGCGCGGCGGAGCGCATTTTCGAGCTCGTGGACCTGAAGCCACGCATCCCGCTCTCCATCGGCAAGAAGGACTGCGACTTGCGCGGCGACGTGGTGTTCCGCAACGTCGACTTCACCTACCCCTCGCGCCCGGACTCGCCGGTGTTCCGCGGCTTGAACCTCCACGTGCGCCGCGGCGAGCACGTGTGCTTGGTTGGGCCCAGCGGCTCGGGCAAGTCCACCGTGTCGCAGTTGCTCTTGCGTTTCTACGACGCCGATGCGGGCGACATCGCGGTCAACGGGCACAGCATCCGCAGCTTGAACGTCAACGCGTTCCGCCGCAGCGTGGGCTACGTGCAGCAGGAGCCGTTGCTTTTCAGCGGCACCATCCGCGACAACATCACCTTCGGCAAGCCCGGCAGCACCGCCGCGGAGATCGACCGCGCGGCGCGCCTCGCCAACTGCCTGGGCTTCATCAACGCGTTCCCGGACAAGTTGGACACCGTGGTCGGGCCCTCGTCCAGCGGCAGCGCGCAGCTCAGCGGCGGGCAGAAGCAGCGCATCTCGTTGGCCCGCACGTTGGTCAAGGAGCCCGAGCTCCTCATCTTGGACGAGGCCACCTCGGCGCTCGACTCGCGCCTGGAGGAGATTGTCATGAGGAACTTGACCGAGCTCGCGCAGACCCGCCCGCTCACCATCATCCTGATTGCGCACCGGCTCTCGACCATCCAGAACAGCGAGCGCATCGTGGTGTTTGACGGGCGCGGGAACGTGGTGGAAGACGGCAGGTTCGAGGAGCTCATTTCCGACGCGCTGAGCAGCCTCAACCGGATCTTGAAGACCGACGAGTTCACCGAGGAGGGGTAGGTGGGCGGCACCGTCGCGGGAGGTCGGCAGGCTGAGAATGCTGGCTGTCGGCAGGTTGGGGAGGCTCGGAGAGAGAAGTGGATGTTACTGGATTGGACGAGACGAAGGGACGCATCGGACTGGACGAGACGAAGGGACGCATCGGACTGGACAAGATGAAGAAACACATTGGATTGGACAAGACGAAGGAGCGAACACATTAGATTGGACAAGATGAAGGATTACATCGGGTCGCACAAGACGAGAGAGGGGAGAATGCCCGCAAAATGGACAGCCTCAGCAGATGGACGATGGGCAGGAAGAAGTGGACATACGTGAAGAGAACATGAGTGTTTGCTTAATAGGATATTAAAAGACTTGGGATAGAACGGGGATGGGCGAGTGGAGCAGGGGACGTCAACGTGTCGGTGGCGTCGGTGCTCGTACTCACAGACAGCACTCGACAAGGCGGCTCAACTCACGAGAGTGGGAGTTGAACTGTCAAGAAGACAGAGTGGCAACCCGCACAATGGCAGACCCAGCGTTTGACAGTCGCGAGGAATCAGGGGGGAGGAAGACCGGGTGGATCCCCAGATGGCTCGGCAAACGCCGCGGACGATGCCCGTGTCGGTCCGTTCCGGCGACCTGGACAGGCCATGTGGGAGCAAAGTTGGATTTCACGAAAGTGGCTCCGAGAGAATGGCATGGGCGAGGCGACCGGGCAGGTTGGAGCGGGCTCTTGATGAAGAAACAGGGCTGTCAAAGAAGAGCAAGGCTCGGGGCTCCTAGGAAGCCAATCTTACAGGACTCTTGAAGAGCAAATCAGGACTTCTTGGGCAAATCTTACAGGACTCTCGAAGAGCAAATTTCACAGGACTCCGAGAGAGCAAATCTCCTAAATCTCCCAAAGAGCGAATCTTACAGGACTCTTGAAGAGCAAATCAGGACTTCTAGGGTAAATGTCACAGGACTCTCGAAGAGCAAATCTTACAGGACTCTCGAAGAGCAAATCAGGACTTCTAGGGTAAATGTCACAGGACTCTCGAAGAGCAAATTTTACAGGACTCTCGAAGAGCAAATTTTATGGGACTCCTAGGAAGCAAATCTCACGGGACTTTTAGGAAGCAAATCTTACAGGCCTTCCAAAGAACAAATCTCACAGGACTCCTACGAAACAAACTGCCCAAAACTCCCAAGAAGCACCACTCCCAAATCTACCCAGAAGCAACCCGGCCGAAATTCCCAAAAAAAAAAAGCAAGCCCTGCCCACACCCTTCCGGCGCAGCCACGAAAACACGCACCTCAGCAAAGAACCCCGCCAGCGCCGTCATCCGGTGATGTCATGCGGCGGCGAAATACGCGCGACCGGTGCTATATTGTCTTGCTTCTCCGCGGGTTCCGGCCGGGCCGTCCGGCCACATGGGCAAAGCCGGGCCCCAGCGCCGGCCGCCGCCCCCGGCCCCGGCCAGCCCGCAGCCCCAGTTCCAGTCGCCCGGGCCCGCCGAGCCAGCCCGCTAAACGAGCCGGCCCCAGGGCCATGGCGGGCGCCTGCACACAGGCGGGTATCGCTGTCTTGGGGCCGCGCGCCGCACGGTTCCCCACGATCGCCCCGGGCCAGTGCGAATCCAGGGCCAGTGAAGCCAGCGCCAGTGCGAACATGGGCCAGTGCGAACATAGAGCCCCACTGCCTTTGCACTTGCCCTAAACCCAGCACTTGTCCTAAACCCAGCACTTGCTCGGAAAGCCAGCACCTGCTCGGAAAGCCAGCACCCCAAAAGCCCTGTTGAATCCGGAACCCGCCCGCACCCCAGGCACGCGTCTCCAAACAGGCCCCTCCGTCGACCCCAGCGCCAAACCACGCCTGGCGCCGCCCGTTGCTCCACCCCAAGCACCCGGCCCGGCACGTCTTTAACACCCGGCCCGGCACGTTTCTAAACCTCCCGCCGGCACATTTCCAAACTTCCCGCCGGCACCGGTCCCCCGCCCCTCCTAGCCCAGCGCGCCGCAGCCATGTCGGGACCCGCGCCGCCGGCGGCCAAAGAAACGGAGCAAGCCGCGCCCCTGCCCGGCTGGCGCGAGGCCGAACCGGCGCCCGTGCCGCCCGCCGAAGGCAGCGACTGGCACGACCAGATCAGGGCCGCGTCGCGGCTCCTCGCCCTGGCCATGGACCGCCTCCGGCTCGACGACCACCACGACCCCTTGGCGCGCCTGTCGCAGCTCTACCGGAAGGTGTCGCTGGCCGTGTTCCCGCCGTTCCGGGCGGCGCTGCAGCCCAGGGCGGCCGCGGCGCCGGCGCCCGAGGACGCGGACGTGGCGCTCCCGCCGAGCGACCACCACGGCCTGGCGTCGCTCCTCACCGTGCTCGCCACGGCGCTGGCCTGTGCGGGTGCAGCCTCGCTCGAGGCCATCGGCAGCCTTCTCCACGACCGGTACCGGCCCGGCGCCGGCAGCGAAGAGTCTGGCGCTGAAGAGTCCGGCGAGAAAGATTCCAGCGACAAAGAGTCCGCCGCTGAAAAGTCCGCCGCCGAAGAGTCCGCCGCCGAAGAGTCCGCCGCCACGCTCACGGGCGCCAGCTCGGCGGAGGCACGGCTCATGCAGTCCAGCGCCATCGTGGCCCGGGCGCTCACCAGCGACAGCTACCGGCCGCCGCCCGCGGCGTCGCGCAGCGCGTGGGAGAACTCGGTGATGGCCCGCTTCCACGTGCAGCCGGCGGGCGACCACGCGTTGGCGCGGTACGAGCCGCTGGCGGCGGGCGCGGGCCCGGAGAGCCCCGCGAAGGCGGCCATCTTGAAGTACCACGTGGCGCTCAAGCTCCGCGAGACGTTTGGCTTTGGCGACGACAACCGCCTCCTCGGCCACTTCGACGTGTGGCTCGCCAAGGACGTGCTCCTCCAGGGCCACATGTACATCACGCGCGACGCCGTGTGCTTCTTTTCCGTGCTCCCGGGCCAGTTCTCCGCGACGGAGCTCAGCGACCCCGAGTTGGCGCTCCACGCCGGGCCCTTGGGCCACAAGTTGGCCCACTACGGCGAGTCCGTGTTCTCGTCCGTGTACACCAACCGGTTCTGGGCCGTGTTGAGGCCGCAGACATTGAGCATCTACACGTCGCCCACCAAGCTCTACTTCCCCGTGCGCACCATCGACCTCCGCACCGCGGTCTCCTGCGAGATCTTGGAGCCGGGCACCGCCGGCTTCAGCGTGGCCAGCCCCGTCGACAGCCCCAGCGCCAGCCTGGCCCCCACGGAGCCGCTGGTGGCGCAGCTCGCCCCCGACAGCTCGGGGCTTGCCGACGACGACTCGCACGAGGAGAACGTGCAGTCCGGCGTGTGGTTCAAGATCAACTTCTCCGACAAGTCCTACCGCTTCCACACCAGCAGCATCTACTCGGCCCGCCACTGGTACAACAGCATTTCTAAAGCCATCTTCCTGCTCCACAACGCAAACTCCCAGCGCGAGGTGGTCTTGCGGCTCCCCATAGAGGACATCACGGGCCACACCAAGAACCCCATCCTCGCCGGCCCAGACGCTCTAGACGCGCCAGACGAGGACACGCCCGTGTCCTTCTCCATCGCGTTCTCTGCCCCGCCCGACGCGAACGACTCGAAACTCCATAAGTTGAAGTTGAAAACAAAGAAAACGCACGACGCAAGTGTCGTCCAGGACCATGTGCACTTTCTTGTTTTCCGGAGGGGGGAAGAGCTCTGCGATTGCTTCGAGAACGTCTTGGAAAGAAGCGAGGTCGATGCCACCGACCGTAATCGCAAGCTCAAGAAAAAGGCAAAGAAGTTCTTCCACGAGGAACGCGTTGACCTGATGTCTCTGCACTTCCAAAACAGAGTAATGACCACTATCCAGCCAGACTACTGTTCCAACGTCTCGATCATCGACAGGATCGTCGACATGAACACCAAGATCACTCTCTCCCGGGAGAAGGAACTCGCAAAATCGGCCGAGGAGCAGGCGAACGCTTTGCTGGACCAGGGAACTGATCTTGAGAGCAAGAAGTTCGCGTATGTGCCTAATTTCAAGATCATGAAAGACAAGCTCTTGCCGAAGTCAAGCCCACTCAGCAGCCTTTCCACCTTTGGCGAGGGGCTCTTCGAGGGCTTTCGCAAAGACGCTCCGCCAACTCCGTCGCAAGATATCGAGATTTCTGACCTTGAAAACCACTTGCAAACACCAAAGCCTTTCAATTTACAGATGCTCAAAGACTTAGACATACAAATGGTGCGAAGAAGAAGAGATTTCAAAGACATCGCAGGGCAGTACGGCAATCTCCTGGAGTATCTCAAGACGAAGCGAGCCAGAGACAAGGCCTTTGACAAAAAGCCGAATGCAGAGGGGAGTGACAATGACTTGAAAAGCAACGATACAAAGAAGGGCAGGAAAGACCCGGGTTTTGGAGAGGCTCTGAAGCGAGGGAAACTCCGTTCCTTGAAGAAGCTGTTGAGAACGGTCTCAACCATGGGCGGTGTGTGGTCTGCGAAGCCTGAACACTACGATCGGGTTTTTGGTCACAGCAAGTATTATGTTGCAAATCGCAGAGAGAAGGCCAGAGCGCTCAATCATTTTCGGAATCACTTCTCCCTTGGTGCCGAAACTCACTTGGTGGCCACGTATTACGCACACTTGAAAAAGGCAGTCCCTGTGTTTGGAAGGTTGTACGTGGGGAAAGACCAGTTATGTTTTAGGAGCATGATTCCTGGTGTATCTACAAAGATGGTGCTTCCCCTTCGGGACATGCAGAGCTGTAAAAAACGGGCCCACCTGTATCAGTATGCGGGGCTTGTTGTGAGGATAAGGGGGCTTAATGATCTCCAACTAGTGTTTGGAAGCAAAGATGCACGGGACGACTGCCAAAAAGTGATTTTGAAGCTCGTTAGAAAAGTGGGATGTCATCATCCGGACAGCGAGTTTGTACAAGATGATGAGCTGAGCTCTTCAATGGACATCGATGAGACCGAGAAACAGAACGCAAAGAGCGAAGGCATTGCCAAGTCTCGAGTGCATGCTGCCCGGTTGAGGCTTCTCGAAGACAAGATCAGCTATGCTACTGGCATAGATATGCCACTCATACTTGAGGACAGCCCATTCACTACCACGGAAGTGAAGCTAGCGAAATGCTACAAGATCACATTCCTCACAATAGGTTCGCGGGGGGATGTCCAGCCATACATTGCCCTTGGCAAAGCATTGGTCAAGGAGGGTCACGAGGTGACAATTGCCACGCATGCCGAGTTCGAGGATTGGATCACGAAGAATGAGATAAAATTCAAGGAGGTGGCTGGAAACCCGGCAGCACTAATGCAATTGATGGTATCGCACGGGTCCATCTCGGTGGGCTTTTTGAAGGAGGCAAGCACGAAGTTCCGAGGCTGGATTGGCGAGCTTCTTGAAACGAGCTGGAAAGCTTGTCAGGGGGCTGAGCTACTCATTGAGAGCCCGTCTGCGATGGCCGGCCTTCACATAGCTGAGGCCTTGAACATTCCTTACATGCGGGCATTCACCATGCCCTGGACGCGAACAAGAGCGTATCCACACGCATTCTTGGTCCCTGATCAAAATCGAGGTGGGTCCTACAATTTCTTGACCCACGCCATGTTCGAGAATGTGTTCTGGAAGGGAATCTCGGGACAAGTAAACAAGTGGAGACAAGAAACGCTCGGCCTTCGGCGCACCAGCTTGGTCAAGATGCAACAGACACGTATACCATTTCTATATAACGTGTCCCCGGCCATGTTCCCTCCTTCGGTGGATTTCCCAGATTGGGTGAAAGTGACGGGATACTGGTTCTTGGATGAGGGGTCGGATGAGTATGAGCCGCCGGAAGAATTGGTCAAGTTTCTTGAAGAGGCCAAATCAAACAACGAAAAGATCGTGTACGTGGGCTTCGGGTCCATTGTCGTGTCCAACGCAAAAGCTTTGACTGAAACCATTGTGGAGGCCGTTGTTGAGCTGGGAGTGAAGTGCATTTTGAACAAGGGCTGGTCCGATAAAATGAGCAAACACAAGGATGAGATTGAGGTCAAATTGCCTCCCCAGGTCTACGATGCGGGCATGATTCCTCACGACTGGCTTTTTCCCAGAATCGATGCCGCGGTACATCACGGGGGCTCCGGCACCACTGGGGCTACTTTGAGGGCAGGGCTTCCGACTATCATCAAACCGTTTTTTGGGGATCAGTTCTTCTTCGCTTCCCGCGTAGAGGATCTCGGGGCGGGAATCGCCCTCAAGAACCTCAACAAAAAGTCATTCACCAAAGCCCTCAAGTCTATTACGTCGGAGCAAAAGTTCTCGGCTAAAGCAGTTGAGATTGGGAAAAACATGAGCCACGAGAGAGGGGTCTACTCAGCCATTGAGGCGATCTACACCGAGCTAGCATACTCGAGGTCTCTCATTCTGGTGATCAGGAACAACGCCGAGCAAAGAAAATGCAACGGCGATAAGACAGGAGCACAAACACTGATAGCAGACGATGAGGCCTTCGACATGCTTGATGAGACACAAGAAGGTGACACAAGTGATGAGATGCCACAAGGCGACACAAGTGACGAGAATACAGCGTGATCAGGTATGCAGAGAGGCATGGCCCATACAGGGCAGGAAAAATAGCACATCTTGCAGCTGTTCGGGTGAAACAGCCCCGCCAGTGCTAGCCAAAGCACCGTGATTTTCCCAGCGCACGTCAACGGTCAAAATCGCAGGCTTGTTCAGGCATACCAACCTACAATTCGTGGAGCATCGGGGCACTTCACTAAGTTTATGCCATGTGCTGACTCGGATTGCCCCGGGTTTACGCGCGCAGCGGCGTGCTCACGTGCAATCGCATAGTGAGTAATCGCGACAGCAAAAGGGCGTAGGCCAGGATTCTTAGGCCGTTCCGCAATCAGATACTAGAGTGACTTCAACGCCTCAATTTGGACTCCACTCTACAAAGCAGCTAGTGAAGATATTCAGCTCTTTCGGCCATGTACGCTAATTACAAAAATGTCACCGAGGAGCAGAACCGCACGAATCCGTACGCGGCAATGGTGCCTGGCCAGACCATAGTGGAAATCCCCCGCTACGAATTGGAATGTGGTGAGGTTCTCTTGGATTTTCCCGTTGCATACAAGACGTGGGGCCGACTCAACAAAGACCACGACAATGTCTTGCTCATCTGTCACGCCTTGACCGGCTCGTCCGACGTCCAGGATTGGTGGGGCCCTCTTCTTGGAACGGGCCTCACGTTCGACCCCTCGCGGTTTTTCATCATCTGCATCAACTTTCTTGGCTCGCCGTACGGGTCGTGTTCGCCCATGACCATCGACAAGTCCACCGGAAAACGGTACGGGCCCGAATTCCCATTGGTCACTGTGAAAGACGACATTGGCGTGCAGAAGCTCATTCTCGACTTCTTGGGCGTGGAAAAAATCGCCTGCGTCATTGGCGGCTCAATGGGTGGTATGGCCGCGTTGGAATACTCGTCCACCTACCACAACACGGGCTACGTAAAGAGCGTCATTGCACTCGCCACCGCTGCACGTGCCCTGGCATGGTGCATTTCATGGAACGAGACGCAAAGACAATGCATTTTCAGCGACCCCAATTACAGAGATGGCTACTACCACGAGACTCCCGGGCTCCGGCCGGACTCCGGTCTTAGCGCTGCGAGAATGGCGGCGTTGCTCACATACAGACTGCGCAATTCTTTTGAGACGCGATTTGGGCGCAAATTGCCCTCCAACGTCCAGCTGAAGAGAGCCGGCGCAGCGCAGGACGAGGGCATTCGGCTTCCCAAGAACAAGGACGAGGAATCTTGGCTTCTGCACAACGACGGTGCCCGCTCGTCTCGACAAGTATCCTCGCAGCTGCTCCAGTCTCTAACTTCCTCAGACAAGCCACAGACCTACTTCACGGCACAGTCGTACTTGCGGTACCAAGGCGACAAGTTTGTGGCGCGTTTTGACGCCAATTGCTACATCTCCATCAGCAGGAAGCTTGACACACACGACATCACGCGGGGACATGTGGACTTTGACGAGAATGCAGATGAGGATCCGCTCGTCCAGTACCTTGGCTCGTTGTGGTTGCCCCATTTGATTATTGGCATCACTTCCGATGGGCTTTTCACATACGGCGAGCAGCAGTTGCTTGGGGCTTTCCTCCCGGACAACACGTTGAAAACCCTTGATTCCCCGGAAGGCCATGATGCGTTCTTGCTAGACTTTGAGATCATCGATGAATACTGTAGAGAGTTCTTGCACGACAGATTGCCTGAATTCTACGACGACTCCGGCAAAATCGAGCCCTTTGAGAACTGGAAAGACTACGTGGTGTCGGTGGAAAATGGCGGCAATTCTGTGTTTGGTGAGGCTGAGAAGAATATCACAAACTGGTAGAAGAATCGCTCTGGACGATCAAATCTGCTTGGAAAGGCACATATAGACTTATTTAAAATTTCTGGCCCTGACCCAAAGATTTTTTTGCAACAGACCAGCCTCAAAATTTGACAGGCAGATTGATCACAAGCACTCCAATCAGATGAAGTTTGAATTACAGCTCGTAGATCATCGCCCCGGACAAGATACCTAGTACTGTCATATATGGAGATGCACGGGTGTTTATGCATGACCTTCGAGATGATCATCGTAGTGGCCATCTACCAAGTGCAATCTCCAAATGACAGAAAAATACATCTTGCAGGAAAACACTCTCCCGGAATTCATAGCCGAGCCCGTGAAATACCTCTCAGTAGTCTCCAAACAGGGGTCTGTGAAGAACATTCTCGGAGAACTACTAAAACAGAGCCATGTCTATAAGGGCACAGTTAATGACAATGTTTTCGATATAGCCGAATCGATTGTCGGCTCTGGGGCCCAGTACTTCAGTCTCAAACTAAACAAGAACAGGAACACCCTCAAGATTGATTCAAGAACACCGAAAACAGTCACAATCACTTTGACAGAGCACGTCTTCAATCACCACGCGTACGCCGCCAGGTACATGAAATTTAAGAAGCTCCAGCCGGCAAAAGGTTCGTCAGATTACATTGTGTATCACACTGTCACTGCCAACTGGAACGGCCCCGAGAAGTATAGCAAGGACTTGTATGCGTTGGTCTCCGAGGTCTTTGCGTGTGCGGAACTCGTGCTTCTAACAGATTCTGTCTATGCCCCAAAAGACGAGGTAGGCTCACTTATGGATTTGCACGAGTCGGCTGTGGTGCTGGAAGTGAAGGTATTTTCCCCCGGAGAAGTGGATTCTGGAGACAGCATTGCTGAGACACCCGATCTCTTGAAATTAGACGTTGATGAGCACCACGAAGTATACGAATACTTGTCGTTAGTACACCTCAACTCTCTTCCAGATTATCGGAACTCACATGTGGGGGCAACTTCCATATATGAAACTCCGCAGGCAGTACACGATTTGCATTTGCCATTGAACTCAGCTTCGCTTGCCACGGTTGCAAATGTCAATCCCGTATTATTCTATGCTCTTGCCAACAATCCCGACGTTTTGTCTGTTCAGGCGACAACCATAAGTGGGAGTTACCTCCTGCTCATATTGCCTGATTCGTCATGGATGTGGACACTTCTCCGGTGAGTCAGTCCCAGCTTTTGGCAAAAACTGAAAACGTTTATTTGTCATTTTCATTCAAAATTCATTTGCCTGCTCCATGACATCGTGGAATAAAGAGTCATAGAATCCAGCGCCTGCAGCACCCAATCCCCCGAAACTGTTTGGGTCGTACGTAGACCCCATGAACTCCGGCGGGAAGCTTGCTTGAGGCACATCGTTATAGAAGGAATTATTTCCCATACCAGGCTTCATGGACAACATCTGCGTCCACATGGCATCTGAGAACTGATCGTTCAGATTGAATGTTGAGAATTCGCTGCCTAGGGTTGCTGCAGTATCAAGGCCAAGACTGCCATGAGAATGCTTGTAAGAAGGCTCTGACGCACTTTCAGACTTCACCTCGTTTTTCTGAACGGTTTGAATTGAACTCTTTAAAATACCATTGAGATCCTCAAGCATGTCACAGCTCAATAACATGTAGCTTTCTTTTCCTTTGCACCAGTTCAAGTAATAGTCAGTTCCATTTCTAATCTCCTTCAATTTTTCTTGGGCTTTCAAGTATCTCCAGCAATAGTAGTATCTGGACACCATCTTTTTCATTGACCTCAAGAATATATTCACACATGTCTCACAAAGAGCAAATGTCTCTTGCAAGAGTTCGTATCTTCGCCTGTAGCCCGCATCTTCGTCTAACAGACGTTGATGCGTTAGCAGCGTTTCGCATTTGATGATGGAAAACCTGGCCCTCATTTGCACACAATGAATAATGATGGTACATTTGTGGACCAAAGTTTGGAACGACGGCGTTATCGCTATGTCTGTGGTATGCACAAAGAGGGATCCTGTGTTTTCCACAAACTTTTCGTAGAAAGGCATCATGTTCAAGACAGAAGCAATGAGTATTTTCTTCAAATAGAAATAAGCCAAGTCCATCTCGCCCATAAGCTCGTAGTGATTGAAAAAGTGCAAGTTGACACTTACCAGGAAGAAAGTAGCCTGGAACCCGATTTTGAGCGTGTGTCCGTTCTCAACTTCGATATGCGGAACTGTTCCATTTGGACTGTCAAGCCATTGTGAAACACTTCCTAGCATGTCTGGGGCTATCATTTCTAGCGCAGAAAGTTTTTTACACAAGTCGGACATTGCTATGGGAGCTCTTACGTCTGAAATGACAGATACCACGTCATAAATAAGATCGTAGCAAGTGTCAAAGTTGGCAAATGCCTGGTTGACCTGCTTTTCAAGAAGAACATTTTTGATATTCTCGTTTCCTGGTTTATGATACGGTGGCAGTGTGTCGAACTGAGACCTCTTGATGCTTAGAGGACATCCGTTAGTTAAGCCGCTGATAGTGTCTGTAATAACCAAATACCACCATATTTTTCGGCACAAGTTGTTGAGCTTGTCGTTGCGCATTTTGGATCGGAAGTTGTCCGACTCGCGATGCAAGCCGAGGGTTTGGGCCATTTCAATGATCCTCGCACAAAACCCCAGTGAGTTGGTATTGTCGGCACCTTCACCACTCTCGGGAGCAAACGAATTGTAGATGTTGAGGTACAAACATAGCTGTAGAATGGGGATGTTTGTGAAGCGGAGGTACCCGAATTGAAAGAGACACAACTGCGCAACCGAAAACACATCAACATCGACTGGGTTGTCCAAGAGGAATTTGAGCTGCTGGGCCATTGGACATGGGTTGTCGGAACACAAGTTGGCTTCGTTCTGTGCATCATCGTTTGTGAATAAGGTGAGGTACGCCAAGCGGAGCACGATCAAGAGGGTGCCGAGGTACACCACCTCCACCTTTTTCAGTATACAGAGTTTCTCCACTCGAACATGGTCTGTGCTCGCAGAGCCAAGCATCAGGGCAACCTGTGCCTCGAAATCAAACTGGTCCAAAAACGGGAAGAACGGGTAGACTCTCTCGAAAAAGCGGTCGATCAACAACCAAATGACTTTTCTGGTCGGCAACAATTTCGTGACTTTCTTCAATATGTCATGCTCGGAATCCAAGTCGCCTTCGTACACAGTCAACCCGACGGCTTTGGCCCGTTGGTTTATGAGACGGAGGTTTTCTACTTTGCTCACGTCTATGGGCGGAGTGGAAGCATTGAAGTCGCCCTCAACGCCGACAAACTCACGCAACTTCATATTGAACATGCGATCAGACGGACCCGTAGGCTCTGTTTCAGGCTTGATGATTGCCCGTTTCTCCTTCATCCGTTTCTGCTGTTTCATGGCAAAAAGTGGGGATATGGAGCTGTACATTTTGATGAGAGACACCCAGCTGAGTGGGTAGAAGTGCCGCGTGACGGTCGGGCTCATGCTGACGATGGGCACGTACAGGTTGTGGAAGGAGAAGTACTGGGAGTCTGATAGACAAGGGTAGTATCCCAGCATGAACGACAAATCGGCCCTGTTTCCGTGGGGATTTTGCCAGATCGGGTACGGAGAAACACTTTGCAGAACTTGCAATGATACAGGACTGTGGGCGCCGCTGCTTTGCCCCAGAATCAGGTGTTCGAGCATGGATATCTTGGATTTTAGGAATTCAAGCTCCAGGTGCATTTTGGAACTCAGAAACTCTTTGGTGGTGCGGGGCTGGTCCGTCCGTGGGTGCAAAGTGCATTTCAGCAGGGCTGGCACTGCGCTTGCCGGCTGAAAGTGGATGACAAGCTCGTCAAAACCCTTGGTTTTCGAACTTTCTGCCTTGGGGAACGGTTCAGGCGGATACTCGCACATGGGATTGCCATACTTGACACACGCTGAGCATGGCGTGCCCTTGTCACATCGTACTTTGCGCCGTTTACAAAAATTGCACACGTAGTTGGCACGAGGCCGTCTTTTCAGTTGGATCATCTTCAGGCCGCTTTCCAGGATGGGTTATTGAAGGTGGGCTGGCAGTTAATGGGCAAGAATGGCAAACAAGCAAGGGGAACAGATGAAAAAGACCGTTTTTTATGGCTGTCTGAAAAAGGGCTTCTTTCGGAAACCAGCAGGCCGTTTGGGAGAAACGTAGATTTGACTTGCCCCAGTGGCGAACGACACGACGGATTCAGGGTGCCAGGAAAAAAAAGGATTTCAAATATTCAGATGTCGGGCTTCGGCTAGTCCTTTTTCCTGGGCTCCGCAGGCGCTGTTGTTTGTTGACTCGTTTTTCCCGTTTGGAAATTTGACGCAACAATCTCGTAAATCTCGTGGACAGGGAAGTATGTTCGCAGCCTTATGTAATGATGACTCGAGCGCATCACGTGGGGAGCAGCGCGCCGCGCGACTGTATATAGGGCCCAGGCCCGGGTTGTCTGTAGGCGGAACCTTCCCAGAGACTCAGAAACCTGTATTCAGGCTTGGGTGGTTTTAGCCTTTATGGTTGTTTGATCGCTGATTCAGTATTTTGGTAGTGGCTGTAAGTGTGCGCTTCCAGCATTTTGGGGTTTTGGCTGGTAATATCCAAGGTCAGCAGGGCATTAGTTGCCGCTGTTGATGCGGGCGATGTCGGGGTTGAAATCGTTTCGACATAACTCATCATAAAAAGATAGTACCTATATGTGCTTGGAAAGATGCGCTCAAAATGAATTGCTTCGTCTGGTCTTTGTAGCACTTTAGAGAACGTATTTGGTGTGAATATCGATCTGTCACATGCCCGGAGATTGCCTCGCAACTTGGTCTATATTTATATATGCATCATGTGATTGCTCAAGAATTCCATCAAACCCTACAATTTCAATTAAGCCCAAAAGCTTGAATCAAAACTCTTCCCTGGTGGAGACAAAGCGTGGTGTTGAGAAACAGAGGCGTGTCACGAAATATGACAAGATGCCCAACAGCTGCTGAACCAAGTCCTTCCTGCAGGAAGAAGCGGCTGAAGCATGGGGCTTCTAACCTGTCATCCGCCTGGACCAAAAAGTGGGCCCAAGTCGGACTGCTTTTGAGATGCCCCGGGAGAAAACACGCTTTTGCTTTTATTATTCCTTTCTTATTTCAAGTGGATTTATTCTGGAGACATATGAAAGAGAGTGTAATCTAGAAGGAGCTGTCCGGTAGCATTATCCTTTTTCAATTTGATTGCCTGGTCTCGTCCGTTATCATCCCATTCTATGAAGCCAAACAGAGCGCCCAGGCAAAAGCCGAAATATTCCTTGGCATTGGACACTTCATTGAGGGGAGGCAACTCTGACGATGAGAAAAAGGAAATCGTAGATTGCCAAGTTTTGTCAAAATCTTCAGGCCACTGAGCACTCAATTAATGAGTGCTCACTGGCGAATCGCGAAAAATGTAAGAAATTGTCAACTGTATTGCTACCTGTATTGCCAGGTCATTGCAAAAACTCACACACGTTCATTTGTACTCACGGTTTTACATGATACACAGCGATGAGGGAGCTGTACTCTTGCTTCTCTAGTCTACGATTTTGCTTTCTCCAATCTGGACAATGTCAGCACGCGTGGCCTAACATCTGTCACGTGACATACAGTTATTACTTGGAGGTATTCCCCCAAGGGGATATCCCACAAAGGCTGACTCGTTCAAGTAGCTTAATTTCGCCAGTCAGGTGTCTCTATTGACCACCTAGAATTTATTGTGGAACTCCAAGTGGTGGGGAAGCAGTGAGTAGGGCACGACCGCCATTAGCGGTTATCTCTTTAGCGCGTCCTCAGCTAAAGGAACTCTTTTCTTCTCTACGGAAACTGGGGGATCTGCAGAAACATGATGGTGCGAGAAAACGCGGGTTGATATAAACTAGCTATATACTGGCTGGGTCTCTCTAGGCAGAATTTGTATCCCAGACCACAGCTGAGGGTGGTTCGACAGACTTGTCATTTTGACAGCCTTCGTGATCGGCGCGCGCACGACCCAAACGGGCGGTACGGGTGTGGCACAAATGGGCGGTACGGGTGTGGCACAAGCGTGCGGTACGGGTGTGGGCGCGCGCCCCACGTATCTCCACAGTCCACTGATAAAGCACCTCCACAACACTTCTACCACGATAGCGCCACCGCACCCAATCCCTTCTTTTTGCATGCAGCACACTCTGTGAAATGTCCCGTACGTTCCAGTTGCAGCTTGTGCGCAAAACACTCACTGACTTGGGCTACGCAGATGTGGCGGATATGCTTGCGCAGCGTCTAGCCGCGGAGCCCGACACGTTTCCTGAGGGTGACTTTGTCGCAGATCCGTTGCTCCAGCTCATTCGCGCGGGCGACTATGACGCTCTCTGCGGTCTCTTTTCAGGGCCTTGCGGTGGAAATGGTGTGAAAACCGACGTGGCTGATGCCTCCGAGAACATCGACGAGCTCGGCTCTGGCCCTGCAACCACTACGTCTGTTGCGTCTTTGAGTGCGAACGAGCGCACGTTGGCCCATTACTTGGTCTTGCGTGCGTCGTTTCTCGAGCGAATCTTGTATATCGTGCTTGGCTCCGCGCCGCCCGAGGCCGCCACAGATGCGTTCCGCTTCCTCCAAGAACGCGTCTCGGTGGCGTTCGATGCCATCGACAGACACGACGTGAGCGTGCCCTTTGTGCTTAAACTTTCCAAGGAGCGTGAGAGCGCCTTATTGTTGCCGTTGGCAATGTCGCCGCCCAAAAGAGACCAGATAGAAACGGCCTTGTTCAACGCGTCCGTGCTCCTTGCCCTGGTCAAATCTCCCCACGGCAGTTTGCGCGACGACTGCTCGTACGTGGCGCGCCTTAGAATGGCGCTCGCGTCCGTGTTGCGCCATGCGGTGGGCCTTCCAAAGTCTGATGGCACCACCTCCGCGCTATCTGATTACTCAAATATCCCTGACGACTGCCTCTCCGAAATCATCCACAAGGCGGCGCTTTATAACGAGTCGCAGTCGCTCTACCATTTGCCCTCGCGCGCACTACGTCCAAAAGAGGAGAACCCCATTGGCGAGTACGTAGTTCTGGAACGTGCCACTAGAGACGACCTCCCTATCCATCTATTATACACACTCTCTCATCACACTGACGAGGTGTGGTTTGCGCGGTTTTCGCCTTCAGGACGATTCTTGGCGACAGGGTCTTTGGATGGGACATGTATGCTCTATGACGTCACTGACAACTTCAGGCTTCTCGCCGAGTTGGACCCTAATGCAGAAAACGAGCTCGCAGCATTTGTCAAGGACTCGTATGTGCCGCCTTTGGACAAGAAAAAAGGAATCATATACTTTTCATGGGAACCCCACGAGAGATATATTGTCACATGCTGCCTTGACACCGTGGTCCGTGTCTGGAACATTGAACACATTGTGCCAAGGAGACGCGTCACAAGATCCATGAACGGCTCCGAAAGCGCGGTGCTTGTCTCTTGTTTTACTTTAGGTGAGCGTATGCGTACGTGGCCATGCGAGTTTCTTAAATACGAGAAAGAAGCCACTCCGCATTTCATAGTGGGCTCGCCAGATAAAGTTCTTAAGGTGTTTTCGATTGATGGAGAGGAAGTCCTAGATTTCTACAGCGATGCTGACGAGTGGCTGTCAATCTTGGGTGAGGATCCCTCGCCAATGTCTGCAGCGTCTACGGAAATTCCCAGTAGCAGCCAGGGCGCAAGGAGAACAGATGAAGCTAGTCATGTGTCATCTGAAGAAACAGGTACTAGTGGTGATGGTGCCAGTCAATTCAACCGAATCAACGATCTCGCAATCACACCAAATGGCAGAGTTCTTATCACGGCCAATAATGATAAGCAGGTATTTTTCTACAAGATACCTAATCTTTTTGACCCCTCTACCACGACATTCAGAATTGCGCTGTTGAGTCTCAACGGGCGCCTTACCTCATGCAGTATTTCTGCTGATGGAAGGTTCATGCTTCTTAGCATCGCCCCTGAAGAGTTGCAGCTATGGGATATTTCTCCACTTGAAAATTTTGAGAAACCGTTTTTGAAACAAAAGTTCTTGGGTCAGAGTCAAACCATCTACATGGTGCGTTCGTGTTTTGGATACCTACAGAGCCCCAACACGAGGGAAGAATTAGTGCTTAGCGGGAGTGACGATGGTTACATTTACATTTGGAAAGTTGAAACAGGGCAATTGATTACACGAGTAAAAGGTCACGAAGGATTGTGCAATTCTGTGGACTGGAATAGGTATTACTTCTCAAAAACGGGCAAAGATTACGGCCTGTATTGGTGCTCGGTGGGGGATGACAATCTTGTGAAGATATGGGGTCCTAAAGAACTGCACCTGAAAACTACGAATTTGACATGTTAGTTGTTAAATATGAGAAATAGTGACTCATGTTCATATCTTTTATTGACTTGACTCTAGTTAACTCTACTTGGAATCTCTACAACTCATCGTGCTCCTCAATCTCCTCTTCATCTTCAGAAACAACGGAGGCGTCTTCCTCCGCGGCATCCTCAGTGTTGCCGGCGCTCGACACCTTGGTCGTCTCGATAAACTCTTTGAAAGACTCCAACTCTCTGGCATTGTTGTAGACGACACCGAGTCTCAAGCCGGTCTTAGGGTCTTTCTCGCCGTTGGCAGGGTACAAAATAACAGTTGGGTAACCCTCAATGTTGTGTGGGACAGCAACATCGTTAAGCGTATGATCAATCTTGGCCACAACAACACTGTCATCATTCTCCTTGTAGTAAGCACCCAACTCAGACCAAGTAGGAGCCAACTTCTTGCAGTGACCACACCATGGAGCGAAGTACTCGACAATAATGTTCTTGGACTCGTCGGCAAGCACGTCGTCGTAGTTGTGGGCAACCAACTTTTCGACGTTCTCATCGTAGTCTTCATCCTCGGAAGTTGGCAATGGCTCCGACTTGATAATTGGCTCAGCCTCGCCCGCCAAGAACGAGTCGATAAACTCCTCAATAGTCTTTGTGGATGGAGATGGATGCTCCACTTGATTGATACCGTACTTTCTGCCGTTGGAGTTGTCTTGAATAGCAAACAATGGCACAACCAGTGGGTCCATGTTCAAGATCTCGGCGTGACGACCAAACTGGGTGGCGTCCAAGCCCACAAAGTGGATCTTGCCACGCAACTCCTTACCCTTTTCCGCGAAAAAGGCCTCGACAGCGGCTCTTTGCTCTGGGGTCTCGTAGAAGTAGTAGCCCAATGGCATGGTGGAGCCCATGTAGACCATGTACGTGTCTCTGTTGATGTCCCCGAAATCAGGCACCTGTGCGTGCGTGGCCCACTCGGTGAACTCCTCGTGGGTGAAGTTGTCACCGGAGAAGACGCGCGCGTCATCAAATTGGCCAGGGTGGACGAGCAAGTAGTGTGCCTTGTCGGCGGCAAACTCGAGGCCCGTCAACTTGGCGAGCTCGGCGATCGAGGTGTCGTCCTCGAGCGAGAAGTGAGAACGGTGGCGTCTTTGGAGCAGGGCGATCTCACCGAAAGTCTCGTTGAAAGCGGCGGCAGCAGCGTGAGCAGCTTTGGGGAGAACCTGCACAACAAATGGCTTGATCTCGGCCTCGGCTCTCTCGACGAAAGAGGTGAAGTCGGAGACGATGTTGACAGGGGACTGAGACATCTTGATCATGTAGTCGACGATGCCGGCGGAGTCACGTGGCCCTTCGTAGTCGTCTGGCTGCTGGTAGGGGCCGCGGGCAAGCTTCATGGTGGGGTAGCCCTTGATTTCGTGCTGTCTGCACAACTCCTCCTCTTCCACACAGTTGACCTGGCCCAATTTGACTTTGGGCAAGGACTCGCTCAACTCGTCTGCGGCCTTCGCAAACTGAGGGCCCAAAGTCTTACAGTGACCACACCATGGCGCGAAAAATTCCATCAAAACCATGGGGTTTTCTTCCAAAGTCTGTTTAAAGTTCTGGGCAGTCAATTTCAAGACCGCCGAATCAGGGGAGGCAATGGCCGCTTCGTCCAGACCGCCGGCGGCTGAAACAAGAGAAACCGAGGCGAGAAGCGCGGCGATTGCCAGCGTAGAGAATTTCCAGAACTGCATTTTAATAGATGCTCTTTGTTTGTGATTTCTGGGGTTTTTTGGGGTGCCAATACCTGGTATTTGTGGTTGGTAGCAGACGGCCGTAAAAAAGAGGTGGGCGGTTATTTAAATGATGGTGGAGGCAAACAAGGAACACGGTGGAAGAAAACGCGCGTCACGTGGCAAAGGACACGTATCATTGGGCGCGGGTGCAGGAGTACCGTTTGGACGGCCGAGGGTGGCTGTGGAGGTGCACGGTCAGGTGACAGACCTAGTGGCGTAAATTGGTGAGGGCAGCTCGAAGTGATTATTGTTTTTTTTTTTTTTGCTGGACTTTCTTTGACGCTTCGTGCTTCAATTATGAACTGCCGACTTGTTAATATTGAATGTTGGTAGAAAATCCCGAGGCGGGTGTCTAGTGTCTAAAAGCTAATTGACAGAAGCTTATACTAGTAAGATGTTGGGGACTTCACCAAACATAGGGGTTCTATTACTATGTGACCACTGGCTTTTAAAGGAATCTACAGGAGTTCTGTTCCACTTTTGTACATTTTATCAAGAGGCCATGTGAAAGGAATGCCTAAAGAGGAGAGATTATTGTTCAAGCTAATTTCTGACGGATATCGCGATATTGGAAGTGCATATGGCCAAATATGCGCTTACAGGGACCATCTTGTTGAGTTGACACCAGGGACCTCACAGGCTCGAGTTGGATTCTGATGAATATTGTATCACGCAAGCAAAACAAATCACACACTCACTTGGAATATATTTGCTAGTGATGAGTAGATATTCGAGGATAAGTTTTTTATTTCTTTAAAAATGCGTCTGTCAATTATGAGCTTTTTCTCCAGGACACGTTTCCTTCTTTGGATTTGTTCAGAGCAGGAGACGGCCAGGTGTCTTGCAAAGCCAAATTGGTACATGAAATATAAAACTAATAGCTGATGCATAGCAGAGAGCGATATAAATGCATCAAATATATGCCCATGTTTCATCCCTACGGCACTATACTGATTCTAGATGAATCTCTGGCGTTTGATGCGTTTTATTTTCGTTAGGAGAAGAAACACTGAAACAACTTTGAGACGCGGCCTGAACCATGAAAAAACAACAACATTATGCTTGAATTCAAGCGGGATAAGGGGGTCGTGATAATTATTTGTTTCCCTGAGCTCTTGTGTTTCGAGCCGGAGCTCACACCGGAAGCATTTGTGGAGATTCTGAAAAGGAGCCTCATATTTATCCAATTAAAAAACGCGTGGCCCATTTCATGACCCAGTGACCCAGGAGGATATTTGGATTACTTTCACCACGGGTGCTTGGATCTCTGGGCGCGGTTTTGAACTATGATTGTGAGGAACCTCTTTTGATGTTGCCGAGAATATATGAGACAGGATTCTTGAGCTAGTTCAATTCTGTTGACACAGCCTCAGACAGCTCTGGGATTCTAAAACAAGGAGCATCAAATAAATGATTGCCCTGTGCAAAAACAAAGGTCTGAATATGAAAGCACATACTGATCATGTGGGCCGATGTGCTCGTCCCCCATATAGGAAGTCTCGATGGGGGACAAACTATACAATGTTGTTTAAATTAGAATTGACGGTACGGCACGTGGCCATCAGAAAGCAGCACCAGATAAACGTGACATCCCCATTTTAGGCACGTGCTTTGCAAATCGTGGGAGGAGAAAAAGTCTATTGGTATCGTACTGCATAATTTTGTGATGGTGTTCCATCACCCCAGGGGTGCGTCTTTCTTTGCCGCCTGGGACACGAGAACTTACCATTCCGATATGTTGACGCCAAAGTGACATTCCTCTAATTCGAGTAATTTAGTGTCGTATTGTCGGTACCTCTGTAAATGCTTGGAAGCGGGCTTGTGAAAACATCACAGAACGTCTCAAAACAGTAACCACGAGCTCCGTCGAAAAGGTGACATGGGCCCTTGTTGTATATCTTCTGAGCTCTCTGTTATTCCTCGAAAGACGTCTCAGTTCAGATTCTGACCTGAAACGAATTCCAAATCTGGTACTTGCGCATGTTCTTTTCATCATGCAGATACGCTGGTTTCGCCTGCGCGGTGCCCCTAAGCGCAGAATCCCGTAGTTCGGACATGTGAGCTTACACGGCGGCACGTCAATGTCAATGTGCAGAACGCCGCCTTAACCCATCAGTTCGTTGCACACGAAAGGATTTATTATACCAACGAGATATCTGCAAAACGCTGGAACTTATTCGGCCCGCTGTTTTAGAAAATTGCCAGATATATCGAATTTTCAGTATGCCTCCAAAATTGCTAGATATGCTGCATGCCCGTGCCGCACCACCTAATGCACGGGAGCCGGCCGCGTCATTTCAACTCACTTCGTCTAGGGTGTCTGGAAATGGCGGTTGTGCGTCAGTGTATCTGTTGCAACTGAATCCTAATCTGCTAGCCGGGAAATGTAGTTTATAAGTGACCCGTGGGGTTCCGGAAACCTGAATGTTTTTGAAAACATATAGCCATGAAGCCGAACGCTGTGTTCTTTGTTGTCCTCCAGCTGGCTGCGGCATTGGCTGTCCTAGACTCAGAGCTAGCCTCTTCGTGCATATACTACATGAAGAATTTCAACTGGGATTGCGGAGATAAAGGCCAAGCCAACAGACAATACAGGTGCCGGTGTCAGAATATCGACTGGGTCGGGTCCGTGGCCAATTGCATCGAGATGCAGAGCACGAACACCCATGAAATCAGCCATGCTTGGAAACACTTGTCAACACAATGCTTGCAAAAGTCCGGCTTACGTTATACCGTAGACCGGCTTGCAGAGTACCTGCAGAATGCCTCCCAGTACATGCAAGCGGCACCCGCCAATATTTCCATCCGGATAGAAACGCCTATATCTCCAGACACTTCCACACTTAAGAAGTATCAAGCGTCGTTCAGAGATCTCAGCCATCACGTGTTCAAGGCACAGTGGCTTGGCTGGGGGCTTGTTTTCTATTGGGCCGCGTACATCGGATATCTCACGGCAGCCAATATTCTTTGGGTGTGGTTCCGCGTGTCGTTGTTTCCTAAACCTGTCAGGCAGTGGTACCAGAAGTACATGCTAAAGCCGACATTTATTCTTGGGCTTCTGATCTGGGATGTCCTGCTCGCGACAGGCTTTGTAGCCCAGGCGATTTTGAGCACCTCTTTATCGTATACCGTGACGCGTCCAAACATGTACATCGACGATGCATATCGCCTCACGCTCGAGTTGCTTGCCAACAGGAGTGCCGTGCTTTCTGTCTCTTTGATGCCGGTGGTGTATGTTTTTGGACTTCGAAACAACCCATTTTGCTGGACCACTGGGCTACCGCAGGCTACATTTATTCGGTACCATAAAGTCGTGGCCATTGTGATGGCAATTGAAATCTTGGTGCATTCTATCGCATGGTCCGTCTACGCCGTAGTCTTTGAAGGCTATGCCGACATGGTTCTGGAAGCCTACTGGCGGTGGGGTATGGTGGCCACGACTGTTCTGATTTTAATGTTGAGCCAGAGCGTGTCGTGTATCCGCAATGCAATGTACGAGACATTCTTGGTGATTCACAAGGTGTTTGGCTCGGTTTTCATTGTAAGCATGTGGCAACACTGCTCTCTTCTTGGCTGGATGGGCTGGGTTTATGCAACCATTGCCCTCGCCACATACGAACGAGTTGCAAGACTATTCAAGACTTTCTTCATCAACGGAGGGTTCCAGAAAATCACAATCAATGTGATAGATAGCAGGGTCATCAAAGTGAACGTGGCAAAATCGGCACTCCACGACACTTTCTACCAGCCCGGGTCGCATGTGTTTGTTTCGTTCTACCACTGGCCCATTTGGCACCGATGCTGGCAGTCCCACCCATTTACCATAATCTGCTCACCCGTGGAAAATCAGGGTGTTTTCGTGATGTACATCCGCATCAAAAAGGGCACCACTGCCGCCCTCGCCAAATTGAAAGGCGATGACAAGGGTACTGTTTGCATGTGGCTGTTGATAGAGGGCCCGTACGGAAATGGCGTATCTAAGTTCCAAGCTAATGAACAGCTAGTGGGGATTGCAGGTGGACTTGGCGTATGTGCATTGCTCCCGACGTTCCATCAAAACCCTCAAGACTCGATGCTCTACTGGTCCGTCAACAATACGACGGACATTGCGTACTTAGATCTGAATTTGAGGCATTTGATTTCTCAAGGCTGCCAAGTGCACGTTTATCTCACAAGAAATGAGAAAGAAAAGCCAAGCACGGAGGAAGTCAAATGGAATTATGTGACTGTCTTGGGGGAGAGACCCAGAGTGGCAGAATGGGTGACTGAAAGTATCAAACGGGGTATTTGTATGCAAAAAACAGACACGTATGTGCTATCATGCGGGCCAGGTCTTATGGACGGGGATGTGCAAAGAAGCGTGAGTGAAAACACGAGAGTTGATCTGCACCACAACGTGCATTTTCATCGTGAGAATTACCAGTGGTAAGATGCCACATAGAGACTGCGGTGGGAGAGAAGTGAACCGCGATAAATAAGAATATGTGGTAAGTTCCGAACTTCACGTACTACAGTGTTCGACATTGTATGATTGGAGATAACCTGAACTAGGACCTGCTCAGGAATCTGGCTGTTTGTGTTTTTGATCGTCTGCAATCAAATGGGCTCAGTCAGGATCAACCTCTGGGGCTCGAGCTGATGGCTGTTGTTTGGCAGATTCATCTTATTGAAGGAACACCATATAGGTTGAAGCCTGTTTTGCCTTTCTGAAAGGTCCCAACTAGCACCTCGAGACTGATGGTTCAGGTAAGCGCGTATTTGTATATACGCAATTCTACCATGAGTGCCGTCTGCCAACAAGTCGAACTTCCCATAGAGTGTCCTTCCTATTTACAGGGTCTTCCCCTACAAATTCACACAATAGGATACATACGTGCGATTATATATGTTATTCTAGGGAGTCATTGATACATAGTAGTACCGACACGTATTTGTCCCGTGAAGTCCCTCATACGAAAACGTGTACACGATTCCCAGATACGTAGCTAGTGTCAAAGCACGGCATTACCACTTCTCATCATTACAGCCTCGATGGCCATCTTGACACGTGATTGTGTAGATACTGAATATTCGGTCATCACTTCGTATTGTCGGCAAATGTATGAATCCACGCGCATGTCACCTAAACATGCATGGTCTTCAAGCCCAACCATGCAGTGGTATGCTGCATGCAGCCGTCATTCTGCATCTCCTGGGCTTGAAATGCATGGCTGGATGTTAGCCGCGAGACGCTGCCGCTCCATCACAGCTAATTTCATGGCACATTTTCAAGACCCAGCAAATTTAATATCATTCCAGCAAGTTAGGTTCCTCGTTGAAGATTAGCCACGAGTGCACGCGCTCACTTTTATGATGTTTATGGAATTGGGAGAATACGAGTCAGCATGTTCGATCTGTGTTCTGAAAGGCACACACTTGACCAGGACGTTTGTAAGACTATGGGTAATTCTCATTCATGATGAAAGACTTTGGAAATGATATACAAAGATATTGCGCCATTTGCGTTTTGAACCTGTGCTATCTACACTGTTATGTAACCTCGATTGAACCGCATTGGGGTAGGGAATACGATGCTGATATAAGCGAGGAAAAGGGAAGGTGAGGAAAGGAAGAACGAGGAGTAAAGAATTACCCATTTTACCCATTTTGCTTCTCAGTAGCCATGTTTTGAATATAGCTAGTAGGGCACATGTAGCTTGAACTAGGCACGACCCCATGTGACAGCCCGCGGCCATCGGTTAAGATAATGTACCACCAGGTGGTTTTAGTACTACAGCGCTTAGCAGAGGTAAGATGAAATGTATCCCGTAACTTAGCACAAATAGATAGAAAAAAGTTTAGATCCCCCTGATGTTTTCAAAGAAGACTTTTAATGGCATAGTGAATAGCACTCTATGGCTGCAAACTTTTTGGGGAGGCAACCTAGCTGAAAACAACGCTATTGATACGCCGATTACAAACGCCATCACCAGCTACCTTTTATCTTCTTGACTACACAGAAAAATACAGTTTCTGGATGCTTCTGCTAGGTTTATTTGTTTTTGTGTGTTCAGTATGTTTTCAGATCGGGGATCCGAGGCGATTTACAGCACGGACCACTGGCGGGGACCACCAGACCCGTGCATCCCACTGCGAGCGACATGGGCTCAATAAAAAAAAAAAACTCCACGTGCTAAAGCAACAACCAAGCACGGCACGCAACTACACCTAGCACGCCGAGAACCGCCCAATTACCGCCACAGCGGCCGCATCTCACATTCTTAATTGAAACTCACTGTGCCAGTACATCCACTCACAAACAGAATATACAATGGTGAACGCGCTCCCGCCCATCGTCATTGACAATGGCCTGAGCACTACGCGTGCTGGGTTTGCCCTGGAGGAATTGCCTTCGCTTGTATTCAACACCAACTACGTGGTAGGCTCTGACGGAACACCTGCGTTTGGCGATGAGGCCATTGTCGAGAACGCCGGCGCCGATGTGATGACAATCATGGACGATGGCGTCGTGTACAACACCGACAACGCCCGGCACAACTGGGATCACGTGTTCCGGAACTTGGATGGCAGCAATGGTGCCAACGCCAGCGAGCACGCGCTCATGGCCACCGAAAACGTATGGACTGCGAACAAGACGCGTGCCCAGATGGCGCAGATTGCGTTTGAAGACTTCCAGGTACCCCTCTTTTCATTGGTCAAGACACCGTTGGCCCAGCTCTACCAGATGGGCCGGTCCAGTGGCTTGGTCATTGATGTCGGCAGCGCTGTCGCGTCCGTGACGCCGATTTTAGACGGTATTATCCAGCAGAAATCGAGCTTCCACTCCAAGTACGCTGGTGACTTCCTTAGCTTGCATTGTTTGCGCAGCTTGGAGGCCAAGTTGAGTGCCCCGGGTACCCAGCTTGACTACACAAAGTTGATGCCATCGCAGTTCCAGACCAGCGCCCTCTCGGAGTCGTTCAAGCAGTACCACGTCACACAACATCTCTTGGGCCACTTCAAGCACACTATGCTTTCCACGGCAGAAGCGCCACCCGGAATGCCAGCTTCGAACTCATATTACCCGCTGGCGCCCCACCAGCGTCCTGCGCTGTTCCAACTTCCAGATGGCACCCACGTCTCGTACACTGACCAGGAGCTTACGAACTTGACAGAGCCGCTATTTGTACCACATGCGTACCCCTTGGCCGGCCTCACGCTCCCAGAGCCTGCTTTCAACAAAGCTGGGTCACACGGTGTCTCGAACTTGGCCTTGTTTTCCATCAAGAACTTGGAAGCCGCGTTTTTGGCTTCCATGGGTAGCGAAAGCCAAGGCGCCAACGCCAGTGCACGGTTTAACGAAATCTTGCGCCAACTTTTCAGCAGCACTTTAATCACGGGAGGCACTGCATTGGTGCCAGGCTTTGCTGATCGCGTTTGCGGCGACCTCAGTCGAACGGCGCCACAGCTTTTGCCCGGGTATATTGTCACAGGATCATACAAGCTATACATCAGCCCATTGCGGAACCACAACACAGGCAGCCTCAACGACATCTTCGACAAGAAATTCGGGGCATGGCTTGGCGCGGCCAACTTGGCGTCGATGCTCCGGGAGAACACCGAGACCGAGTCCTCCAGCATGGGTATTGCTCTCGACAACTGGTTTGTGTCGAAGGCCGACTACGAGGAGATGGGCGAGGACTTGATTGCTGAGAAGTTCAAGTGAAGGCGCCGCAGAGACGGTTACGGAATTCATTCTATCATTAAATAGCGATACAAGAGTCAGTTTCCAGCTAGCCTACTGGTCCTTCCAGGTCACGTACTTATTATCGTACTGGGACGAGTCGCCATGCACGGCCAACACGCGTTTCACCTTGTCAGCTACTCCCAACTTTTGGTGAGTCTTTGCCTCGAAGTGCTTGACGACCTCGCTTGGCGTGGGCAAGTACGATCTGTTGGAGCCATCTTGACCCACGATGTAATCATGAATCTGCCCGTTTGTAGGTAAGCCCATGTTAAAGATGTAGTTCTTGAAGTTAACTCCAAAGAAGTTATTGATCATGGGCTTGGAAAGCATGGCAGTGTAAACGGATGAAGAAGTGAGTTTCTGGACACGGGACGCATCGTATGCAGCCCACTCCGGCAAGCTAGGCTCTTTGATTTTGTCAAGGAGCTTGTGCTTCACGCCCTTGACGAAGTCGTTTACTTCGGGCTTGGCATTCATCATGTTGGTGGAGGTGATCAATTCCAACTCCAACTGCTTTTGAAGTGTGTTCTCGAGGCCACGGTTCAACAACTCAAAAGCGACGCGCACACACGTGGGAGACTTGGCGGCCAAGCGCTCGTAAGTCTTGAGGCCAAACTCGGTACCGGAGTTTTTGAATGACGCAAGCACATCCTCGAAAGACTTTTGAGAAAACGACTTGTTGATGAGGGAAATATCCTCGGCAGACAAGTGGAACTTGTAGTTCTCAGGCAACTTTGTCAGGGCGAACTCTTCGATAACAGAGTTCATCTGCACAAAGAAGTCCTTTTGAGACCGGAGGTTAGAGGCTTCATTAGCAGAGCCGTTAATCACAGGGGGGTTGAGGTTCGAGATACGAGTAGTCATTTGCGAAAGGCGCTCAGCGGGCACGTAGTGTGTGGCAAAGCCGGCCATGTATGCGTCTGCGCCGCTCAAGACCTCACCCGTCAAAGCGTAGTAGTAGCCTAGCTTGTCGTCGAGACGAGGCAAAAAGAACGTCGTTCCAACATCAGGGAAAAAGCCGATGTCCATCTCCGGCATGGCCAACTTTGTGTTTTCCGTGGCAACGCGGAAGGGCGCGTGCACGGAAAGCCCGACACCGCCACCCATGGTGACACCGTCCATAATGGCCACACATGGCTTGGAGTACGTGGCAATCAAGAAGTTCATGTTGTATTCTTGCTGGAAGAAGTCCATGGCGTACAGCGGATTGCCCTGTAAGATCTGCAGCGCACATTCGGCCACATCGCCGCCAGCACAGAGGGCCTTGGGCGAGGAGGATGTCAAGATGATGGAGTTGCACACGTCCAGCTTGGCGTACTCGGTCAAGCGCGGCACGATTTTCAGCACCATCAGCGTGTTGAGCGAGTTGAGTTTGTGGGTCCGGTTGAGCGTGATTACACGGGCCATGTTCTTGTTGGTGAACAACACGTCGTCCGCGACGTGGCCGGAAGTTGACGCCATTCGAATGGTTCTATGGAAAATACCGGCGGAGTGTTTGGTGGCGGCTACCATTTGGTGGGTTATGTATGTACAAGCGGGGGCGGGGTTGGATATATGGAACCTGCGGTGGGGGTGCCCAAGATCCGGGGGCAGGCCGGGTGCGCATGAGGAGAAGCCCGTGAAAATTTTCGCGCATGGCTGCCGGGGGTGGAAACAGCGCGCATGGGCAATTTGGGCCGGAACAAAAAACGTGGGGTAACTCGTTGCCGGGTCTCGGATTTAGCAACATTGGCTGGTGGGGCTCATGTGGCTGCAAGACGTGCCAAGGGGGTGTTGACGGATGCAACTTTGTGACGGCCACTAGAACTTTGATTGTTTTCTGGGCTTGTGTTATTTTTTTTTTGTATGGCGAAGCATGCCTGTGGTGACGGCCTTTAGATAAGGTTATACTTTATTGCTTGGACAGGCCATTTTGAAAGCATGTGTTATGTTTCAGTGTAGAGCACGAAAGTCTCCCAAAATGGTGAGTGTTTATTTTGTGTTGACTTTCGAATCCTTTGTTTGTACACGGTTTTGTCTTCCTGGCGGGAGTTGGTGGCTCACCTTGCACCCGGCTTTCAGTCGCCGTGTGTGTTTATTTCTATAACAGGACTGAAAGATTACGATGAATTAAATGAACAAGCAGGATCGGTCAGCTGTAGACAAGCTGCGAAGAGTACAAGAGGACTGAAAGCACAAGCCCTTTTTGTAGTGGGAAAGAAAAAATGGATATGCAAAAGCTGGCAGCACCCTGAAACAAAAGAGCCGCCAGTCCCTCACAGCCAGTCCCTCGCAGCCAGTCCACCACGTGATTCCTGGGACGCGCGGCTCTCAATTCACTCAGGGAGTGATTTGCTAGAAGTTGGCGAGATAAGCGAAATGATTGTAAGTGCACCATCCATATAGACCTGCGGTTCACAGGTGAAGCTGCAGGTGACGAATGAGGATCAGAGATATCAATCCATCTCATTCACTTATAGACGTTGTACAACAACAGTTTCAAGTCCCCAAGATAGTCAGTTTCTCAACCATCATATCAAAACGAGCCCCAGCAAAATTCGATTTGCTACTGGCAGAGAATGCATTCCCCTGAAAAAGGATACATTTCGGGTGTTGATGAAACTTGTATTGCCGATGAAGTCTGTAGTGATTGGTCCGATAGGCTGGCCTGCGATGTCCTTCCCCTGCTATAATGCAATGATGCAGCGAGCGAATTTGCGGATGTATGGCCCAAGATTGTTTCTGCTTTCACAAGGACAGTAGTCTGCCACAGCCAGGCCTTGGAGTGAGACAGCTGTGGAAATGCTGGACCAGATGATATAGCGGACCAGATGATATGCTGGTCGTTTCCTTTGGAGAGGCAGTCTATGTTCAGACCGTGGCAGATATACAGCGTGACCTCAATGGCAGCGGTAGCCACGCCGCTGTCAATCTAGGGAGACATTCAAGCGGCGAATTGTCAAAAAGATACGGGAGCACCATATCATCAAGAGCAGCTTAGGTGACCGCTAAACGTGGCGTTTGCTGGCTTCGACGGCCATAGTCTCTGAGTATTTTTTCATGTGCAGAATACAGTCTGACTGACGAAAGGAGCCACGCAACAGTTCTTCTTGACGGGGCTGTTTAGCCTCTGCAAGACTTGGCACAGAGACCGTGTGAGTCTTGGTGGCGGCTGCAGCCAAAAACTCTTGCAGACGCGCTTCTCACCAGCCCGGCGACCAATGAGGATCCAGCCTTGATGCCCGGGCCGGGTACAAGACGCTGATGATAGACACAAGACACTGAGCACCGGCTCAAGGCGCCGACCGCCCTTCGCCCTGTGCGTCGCCGTAAAAGGTGTTCAGGAGCAATAGGGTGCACTCAGTCCTCTCGTCAGAGCCGGCCGGCGGTATGCGATACTGGTAGAGCGTCCCCGTGCTGTAAGATGCCAACATCAAGACGCCCGAGGCGCTGAAGCCGATCTCAACGCTCTTTGGCCGTGAGTGGCCCGCGGCGGCGTCAGGGACCTTGACGTACGCAAACGACCGCCGCGGCTTCTCCCAGATGAGGCTCAGGAGATACTGCTTGTAGGGAAGCCGCTTCACGAGCAGCTTCGTGTACAGGTTGCTGATGAGCTTCGACGGCGTCTTGAGCGCCGACAAGTACGACTGGTCCTTGGAGCGCTTTCGGCGCGCCCGCTGGGCCTCGGGCTCCTTCAGCAAGAGGAGATTGGCGAGGTTCTCGTTCAAGTCCTCCAGTGAGGAGAGCCGCGCGCTATGCTCGTCGCCAGGGCCGTCGCCAATGTCCGCGGACGTATCCAAGCTGGCCCCAGGCTCGGGTGGCGTCGTCAAAGCAGGGTGTGCGCAGCGCATCGAGAACAAGTGCACGGTCCCGCTTTCCGACGCACATCCAAGCACCGCCAGGTCCAAACTGAACGCAAGCGCGTTGATCCGCGCAGAATGGTGGCCGCGCCGGAGATTGGTGACCTGCGGGAGCAGCAATCGCGCCGCCGGCCCCTGTCCTGCCTCCGCATGGATATGGGCCACGCGGAGAATGGTACCTTTGGCCGACGCTGTGGCGATGTACTTGCTGCCGCTGGAAATGGCGATCCGCGTGACCGGCGAGTCGTGCGCCTTGTACACGAGCCGCGGCTGGAGGCCTACGGTGTCGTAGACCACGACCCAGCCGCCCAGGTCCTGCCGGAGGTCCGCGAGGCTTTGCAAGGGGTTCTTGGCAAGGCGGGCCTGCTCGTTTTTGTGCGTGAGCTCGACCCACGGGCCAAGCGGCATGGAGGCGGCCGGCCCGCCGGAAAGGAGCTCGGGGTCCGTGGGCAGGCACGCGCCCAGGTCCGCGCCTGCCGGCTGGCTGTTGAGCAAGTCCGTGTGCTCGGTGATGGCCTGCAACGGGAGCACCAAGAGCGACGCGTCGTCGGGGCTGAGCGCCGCTACCACGGGGCGCCCGCCCGGCGCGTCTTGCGCGGGCACAAACGCGCCCACCTCCAAGACCTTGACGAGCCGGACGCTGCCTAAGTCGTAGATGTAGATCTGGCCGGCGTCGACGAACACAACGAGCCGCCGGCGGTTGAGCCGCACGTCGCGGATCGGCAGGGGGAACGCCAACTCGCAGATCTTGGCGTGCTGCTTCAAGTTGTGGATTTGCAACACGCGGCGGTCGTTTTCGGCGCCGCTGTTGGTGCCGCTGGTTTGCGGCACGATGATCGTGAGCGACGTCAGAAATAGCATTCTGGCGAGCGCCGCGCCAGCAGGGGGCTGCGGGCCGCGGTCGGCCGAGCCGCGGGGCAGCACATAGAACTCGCCAAAAGGATCGCAGTTGAAAATCCGGAGGTGCTCGGCGGTTGAAACCAGGAGGCTGGTGACGTCCTGGTTGAAGCTCAAGTCGTTCATGGAATGGGCGTGCGGCGGGTCTTTTGGGGTCACGCTTTATATTTTCCACAAGGTCTTGATGTGCTAGATCTGGGGGGCTCGAGAGGGCTGGATGTCGGTGGGGGCTTGCTGCCGAATGTTGTATGATGTATTTCCTAGGAGCTCTCAGGGCAAGTCTGGGGTCGCACCGGCCGCGGGGGGTCACGTGACCGCCGGCAAGGTGGTGTTTGGCCCCGAGCAGACGGCCGAGATAAATTCTTGCTGTTCTTCCGAGAGATGGAAGCCGGCCAGCGGCTTCTACCGATTTAGGACCCGTTTCCCGGGTTTGGGGGCCCGGCCGCCCGGCCTATATTACTGCGCGTCACGTGACTTGGACATGGCTGGGTGCGTCCGCGAAGCCAGTGATTTATACCTGGCCAGGTCTCTTGGAGATGTTGGACAGAAAATGCAAGGATTCAAAAGATTCCCGATGAGGCCCGAGGCCGCTGAGTCCTAGGAAATTATGCACAAAGTCTGGAAAGGTGCAAACCAAAGACCAATATTTTCCTTCGGTATATAGGCCTTGACGCAGGGCACTATGATCTTCTAGGCTAGCCTATTCATGACCAGACTCTTCGAGCTCTGGGTGACTTGGATGTTTCTCAACTAAAGGATGGAAAAGTCTTGGGTCAGTTCCTGCCGTCTGTAAATCCCCCAGGCTTCCCTGCTAGAGCCTTTCTCTTTTCTTTAATGGGTCACTTTTTAATGTGCTGATATTTCCCGGTGAAAACCTAGAGTATCACGGCATCAGGCACACGATCAGGGCGCTCTCGCGTCTTAGTGTTGCCTGCTTTTCGACACCATGGGAGAGTAGAGCTTCGGAATTCTTTTCTGTTTCTCTTAGTTTATTGCGGATGGGCTAAATGTTTTGTGGAGGCTGCCGTATACAAGAAGCTATTTTTTACCATACCACATTAAAAGCTTTTCTATGAAATGGAAAAAGCTCGCCATATTCGTAGCAAATATGTGCCTATCTACACATGTGCGGAAATAGTGCCGGACTGTGAAGCTGTGGGGACAACGTATTTTTCGCCTTTGAACTTACGTCGCTTCTGGTTTCGACTAGTCAACGCCAACTCAAAGAATTCCAGATTACTGAATGTTAGCAGATTTATCTTCAAAATAGTGGAAGATTCTCAGGTCATCACCAATGGTAGTGACAAAGTATCACTTCTGTGATACCCATCAGCACGGGAAGACCGTCGGTGGACTCTTCGGCCACACTCGACAAACCTCAGTTAATGAAGCTGGACATAGGGTTACACCAAAGATTGAGCCATGCATGTTTAAGTAAAAGAATCTAATGATGTTATGTATAGAAAATGTGAACGGCTCACCAGCTCACTTCTTGTTTATTTGACAGAACGTTGCTAAATGATACCGCCTGGCAAATTTGCAGGCGCCAAGATATGTGACATCACCTCTTGAAATATGCGAAAACAGAACGTATTTCTGATACTTCAGATATATGGTCTATTCACTGGTGCTCGGAGACTGTATACGTATAGAAGCATGCCATGTAAAGATGTGGAACGAAGCCATATATTCTCCTGCCTCTTGTTGCCCAGCTCCATGAAGACTATCCAAACCAATCATAATTTCTTTCCCACGGTACAGCGCTGGGTCAGTTCACCCATATGAACCTAGTCCTCGAAGAGTAGACATATAGTATGATGGCAACTGTTTCAAGTAGCTTCAATAGTTTGCCGTTGTACAAAGGCCGCAGCTTGACATGGCTCGGATAGTAGAGAAAACACTACACGTTCTGTTTTGTAGACAACATATCTTTTAACACCGGGTGTCTTGACTTTGCCGGTTTCGCATTCCACCTGTATCTTCAGTGCCTCTGGGAATACCGTAGCTAGCCCAGACTCGTACAAAACCTCCAAGCCAATGAATGGCCATGATTTTTTTTTTGAAAACTGGCCCATGCCAAAGTTGACCTGAAGTTTTTGGCTCCAGCTTTAGCCGCAAAACTCTTTCTAAGGCATCTGGGACTTCAGCTCAGAACAATTTGCACCCATTCTTCGCAACCTCCTGTAATTTGGCGACATCAGTAGAAGTGATAAAAATCACTAGTCTGATGAGTTGAGTACTAGTGGGCAGGGTGGTATTTGATCAACGAATGTCCTTCACCGCTATTATTCCCAGCTTTGTTTCCAGGACTGTCCTTGCACAGATGCAATATCTCTGCTCCAAACGTATCTGTAGCATCTACTCGGAAGACGTAGAAGGGTGGCGATGAATTCCATTCCAGATTTGAAGTGAGCAGGATAATTCTGCATTGCAAATACATGTCCTAATCCGGCAGTCACCGGAGACATCGCCAAAGAACCAGATATACAAAAGTGGGATCTTGCTCCTACGGCTTCATGTATGAATAACAATTACGGTATGATTTCTTTCTCCTATTCATCTTGAAGCATTTCGGTGAGCAGATGCAGGCTAGTAGTGAAGGTTCTTGCCCACAGTAAAGGTTTGTGTCAAGAGTAAAGGTTTTTGCCAGCAGTAAAAGTTCTTGCCAATTGTGGAGGTCCCATTTCATGTATCTGTGGTGCTTGCACTATACCAGAAACATCACAGTGAGTGGTTTTTCACGATGAGTTCAAAGTGACACTGGAGGCTGGCAGCTTGAAAATGTCAGTCGGCCCCGCCTCTTTCTGCTTGAACATTCTTAACACTCATAGCCCACAACTTGATATTTTGACTGTTCCAAGTCGGGGCACCAAGATTACGATGGTGCTTGAATTACTACTCGATCTTTAAGGTGTCAGTCTTTTAAATACTGACTCATCCTTGCAGGCTTAGCTATATCACCACGACGCATGCCACGAGAATCAGCGCAAATTGCCTGCCAGAAGTGTATAGACTCCTGTCCCATCTCAAGTAATAGCTCCACTTATAGTTTTTCTTCCTTGCCTTTGTATTGAGATATCTAGTGACGTGCACCCACTTGTGGGCTGTACACCCGTTCTACAAACTGACAATAATGTACATCTGATGGCATCAGCACTGACTTGCATTTGTATAATCATTCGAATATTGTAGCACTCAATTGACGGAGCAATCAGCATCCCGTCAGCCCATCAGCCCATCAGCATCCATTCAACAGGCCAGTGGATCCATTGAATAGACTTGTGGACTACAGACCAAAACACCTGGAACTAGACGGAGTCCCTGGGTGGCGCTGTCCGAGAAACACCAAAAGCCCATATTGATATCCGTTTCCTCTCCAGCTTCTTCTCTGACGTTATCACCCCCGACACTTACTCGTCCACCTCCTCCAAAGTGACAGTCCTCCCTTGGGCGCCCGAGCTTTTCTGCACACCTGAGGCAGTGGCCTGGGCCACAGCCTCGGGCTGCGTGACAGCAGCAGCCCTCTTTTTCTTCGACTTCTTTTCGGAGGGCCCGCTCCACGCATACAAGGGCTGGAAACTCTCAAAAAAGCCGCAGTCGGCAAACAAGTTGGGGTACAACCAGAACGCGTGGGGCAACGCCACGAAGGTCACCACAAAGATGATCAAGCGCACAATGGCCATGGCGAAAAAGAGCCCTAGGAGCCCTAAGCAGCCCATGGACAAGTACCACACCCCGATCCTCATGAACACCGGCCACAACGGGAAGAGAATCACCGCAAACACCGCGGCAATCATCAAGAAGCCATACAAAACTAAATAGGGGTTGGGTTTCTGGTACGTCCACGCGTAGTACGCGTCGGGGTCCAACGTCGCTTTGGTGGTGGGACGCAACGTGGGCTTCTGCCTGTTGGGCACCCAGCCTTTCACGGCCTTGATTTCATGGTAGTGCAACTTCTCGACGGGCACCAAGAGCCGCGCCAGAATGAATTGCACAAACATCTTTGCAACCTCCTGTTCGTTTGGAATCAGCACGAGCTGGTTCTTGCCGTCCGCGCTTTTCTTCTTGTAGTCGTCGCTCAAAAGGGCCCGCTTCATGCGCTTGAAGCGGAAAAAGTCAACCTCTTCTTTGTTGTTCAACAAGCCGCCACGCATTTTGAGCATGCTGTTGCCTCTGAGATAATTGGCCACGTTCATGATCACGGGCGATCTCTCTTGGTTAAGAGGCACCTGGGTTTCGCCCGCTGCAGGCCCGTGAGCACCCACCGCTGGATTGTTGGCCGCCATATCTTCTTTTTTTTACGGAAGCTGCTGGGAAATAGGCGTGGTTTGGAAAAGAAGCGGAATCCAAAAGAGTGAATACGTATCCGTTATGTTAAGCGCAGCCGGTAGACGTGTGCTGGTGCACGGGTGCAGGAGCCATTGGCGGAGAATAGACAAAACACCGAATATTGCCAAGCGACTTGGTTGAGATGCCCTTCTTCAGTTGCAGACCAGCTGGACGCAAAAATCGATTTTTTGAGCTGGTTTAGAGTGGCATAGAACGGGTGGTTTGGTGGCATGTAGTTGGTGTCGATTCTTTCGCGGTGCATGTTGGTGATTTCGATTGTCGTGGAGGGAAAACTGTTTGTGAGTACGTTGGTATGTTTTCTGAATCGAAACCATAGGTGTAGATCAATACTGAAGAAGTGGGCTCTGTTTCCATACATCAAGCACGGACCCGCCGTTATGGAAACGCTGTTCCATCCAGAGTACCGTGCCTCGTTTTAGAAATTGGCGATAACGATTGAAGGGCTAGTTTCCATGGCGGGCCTCTTTTTCGAGTGCTCTCGAAGTTCAATCTGATTTGGCCACTTCGTGAATCAAATTGAGGGCAACAATAAGACGGGGGCGAATGTGGGAGCAATTCTTTAATTTGTTGCAAATTATCACCTTGATAGCTACATGCAATGAGAAATTAGCAACTTTTTGTAGTCCTGATCTTGGCTGCTCTATCTTAGCTCTTGCATCTGGTTTCGTGCTTCGCCACATCCCAAATCACTTGACCTCAATGACCATCGCCAGATGTAGTGATATCAGATCAGGTCTTGTCAAGTTTCTTTAAAAAGAAAAACATGTATCCACCACTGCAATAACCATCACTCCATCTTTCCATGACCTGTCCTGAATCCTTGAGTGTGGTATCTACTGTGTACAATGACAGAAATCAAGATATCATCTGCTTGAGCACTCGCCCATATTTGGGACGACACGATGAAAGAGTTTGCACTCAAAATACACATACCCAGACTCTTGTAATCACAACATACCACGGGCTTACTTTTTCTCTCTTCTCAAGAATAGATGTTTTTTCTTCGCAGGTGATGATTTCCCCTGTGCCGTCAAGTTTGACATGCTCGAGCTTCTTGGCTGCATCAGCGGACGAGGCATGGAGCAGGGCGGTGAGGCAGGCGGCGCAAAGGCAGAATCCGCAGCGTAGTATGGGGCCGGCCCCTCGCTATACTCGTCCACATCGTCCTCTATCGCTTCCTCATAGCAAGGGATTTTCAGGAGTGTGGCCAAATCAAGTATTTTCGCAGACGCATCAGCCTTTGGAGGGACAAAGTCAAAGTATCCACCCATGGGCGCCGCGCCTACGCTGTTGGCCCGAAGCTGTTCAATGGGCGACAGCGGGCTGTTGTAATCAAACACTGTGTCTTTCTTGTGACTGTTGTAAACCGGAGGCGCCGGGTCCTCGTCCTCGTCTTCCTCGTACCCCTCGGCCGATGCGCCTTCAAGGCTTTCGGAGCGAGAATTGACGGGGTCTCTGGCGGGAAATAATACATCTTCTGCGGAGTCGTCTGGAGCCGGCACAAAGTGTCCGTTACTATCCACATCCATGTGCCTGGCCGTTACGTGCCCGTGAGTCGGGCTCATGTAGATCACGACAGGAAGGAATGCCCGGAGCTCCGACACATGGCCGTCCAGGTTCCGCATGTGGATTCCGACTCGCAAGCGGTGTCTGACGGAAACGAGACTGCTTTTGATGGAGCAGGTCTGTGTGATCTCGGACAACGAACAAGGAAGCTGATACATGCCCTGCACCTGCCAGTGGTCCTGGCCAATGTCCGGGTTGGGGCACAAGACCTTGCGCCGGGCAAGCACTTCTTCAGCAAGTGGCGACCGCCCAGATATGCCGCTCACATATGAGGTTTGCACGATCTCCGCGTACATGGACTTGAACGAAAGGCCCTTGGTAAGAGGCACAATGATGAGCTTGATGGGCACCAGGGACCCAAGCGCGATACCTTTGTGGGGCGCAGACACCTTGAAGTCGATCTTGCCGGGCCACGTGTTGGCATAGTCAATTGAGTCGTATCGGTTCACGTTCCTTGGGTGCAAGGTGCGCACAATGCGGACGTGCGTGGCCTTCTTGAAGGGACGGTCAAAGCGGCCTCGCTCCACCACACACTCGAGCTTGTATCTGATTTTTCCTGCCGCCAAGCTCTCCACCGATTCGGGTGTGTTGGCCGGAAGAAAGAACGAGAACGGCAAGGTATAGTTGCCATTGGGAAGCAAGAACGAGTGCCCCCGGCCCCAGGCACCCGCATACGCGGGGCACGGCGTGCCGTCAATTCCCGCCCGCGGGACCCGGACGAGCGACGACTCCGGGTTCTTGAAGAGCAGCGGCTGCGACTTGGTTTTGTGGAACGCCGGCCGCTTCCCACCCGGTGGAGTATGGGTGTCTGTATGCAAGGAGGCGAGGTCAGTGAACGAGTTGTCATGTGACTTGCGGGCAAGCAGGTCCACGTAGTGGTACTTGGCCACCAGGTCGGCGTAGTTGCCGAAGTGAAGCTCGCCGTTGGGCAGGCAGAGAAGATTGGGCCACACCACCCTCATCACACAGTTGCGCTCCGAAATGGGCACGCCCGCGAATCCATCGAACAACCTGCTCTCGTACTCGACGTCTTGGTCGCCGGTGAGCACAAGCCGGATCCTTTTCACATGCAAGTCCAGCTTGGTCAGGAGCTTCACGCATCCATGGAGCGGGATGTTCTCCACCTCGGCCTCGTTGCCCTTGACCAACACGGTGTTTTTCAAGCCGTGAGTTTTGAGCTTGATTTCAAAGAGCGCCAAGTCCTTGGCGTGGTCTTTCTCGTGCAAGAACATCACGCGGTATGGTTCTGTGGCAGACAATTGGATGGCACGTCAGATGTCTAAAGGCCACTCAGATGCCAATCAATTATGCGAACTTCTTTTTTTTTTTGTTCGCAAGAAACACTACCCGGTGCTTTCGGCCAGATACGGGAGCGCAATTCTCACCCACGCCAGAAATGAAGGTGGGTCCGGGTCACCCCACTTTCGGATATGGCTTAAGTTTGGCATCTCGCTTGCTATTTCTGCGACCTTCTGGGTCGGCAAGCTTTTCCGCGGTGCGGCTTCTGTACCGAAGCTTCTACACCTGTACACCGGCATGGGCAGCGGTGCCAGAATACGGCTCTGTCCTGGCCAGTCGTGCCGTTCCCAATACCACAAGGGAACTGTGTGATTTCTGGTTGAGCTTATATTGGTGGGCACTGAAGACTAGCGTGTTGCCCGTGTCTCCACGTGTATCCTGCATATGCTTGTTTTCAGCCCGAAAAGGGCTCGAAATCACAGCGCCTGGCGTTGCTAGTACTGAAGCGGGGCTTAGAAATGGGTACACTTTCCATTGGTTCGGAAATTGGAGTTGCGTCTTCACGCGGGCAGCAAACCGGATTTGATGAAGGATATACAGGGCCTGTCGAATGCAAGTCATCTTTATTTCTGCTTTTCTGAATTTGGACGTGATTCCCGCCGGGTGTCTCATAAGATGTGCGCAGCCGTATCCTTGAGGAGTATACAGAAGACTGGATTATGTGCAGAAGGCAATCATGCACTTGCGGGTCAGACGCGGCTCAATCTCCGGTTTGATAATACGAATGCGAATCTACCGTAGTCCACAGTTTGTAGCGATGCTTTAATGGACAAAAGCCAGCGGCTTAAGAAAAGGCTCTTTCTCTTTATGTTCATGATATGCCGGATCAAATGCCTAATATATATTGAGCGGATTGACTTTGGAAGTGATTACATCTTTAGAAGAACTTGGTTCGTTATGTTGCTTCGGCTACCGCAGATAAAGAATCTCTACTGCGTGCTAATACATTAGCTGATGACTTCAGATTCTTGTTTCCAGTCGAACGTACTTGTAATCGTCACCGGCATTCAAATCTTTTCAGGACCTGGTAGAGAATGCATGAGATCATAAGCCAATAGTAAAACTCTGCTCCTTGTTCTCTTTTATACAAACACTACATTCACAAGGTATAAACTGGCTCAATATATGTAGTACGAAAAATCGGATAAAAGCCTTATCAGCGTTCCAATCGTATTAACCTTGTGCACAAACAACCATAAATATTTCACAAGAAAGATTCGAGTTGGCTGGCTGCTCTGGGTATTTTCCAATGCCGAGATTTACAGAGTTTATGCAATATCCTGATGATGGTCAGCGTTTTAAAAAGACATACCAGCTAAAAGAAAGTTCAATTTTGTCCCAATTGAAGATTATCAGCCGTGAGATCGAGACTTGGATACAAAGTTCAAAAACGCTTCAAGAAGCCCCATAAGTTTTTCATTGTGAGTTGAGTGCATAACTAAATAAGAATACACTACTGCAAGCCTGCCCAATTTCCTCGTCCACACAGATCCTCGCACCAGACCTTACAAGCGACACTCCCGATTTCAGGCGGCAGCCAGAGCTGGCTGTTTTGGCAATGTCATGCGTCACTCATAAACGGCGCCAAATGTGCCACTATACACACCCCTCTATACTCAAAACACAATTGGAAAGCAGCCTCAATTCACCAGGCACAAATCTAAACACAGATGAGATGTAAGTCACGTCCCACGGCGTATGGCTCCTGCGCCATGGTACTCATATCCAGCGCTTCTTCGCATGATGTTCGGAATTGGACTGCTCGTGAAGACTCCCTCGGCAGTGGACTTTTTCCGTTTGCAAGCGGGGCTGCTCATGAACAAGCTCTCAAAAACAGCTCTCTTTTGATGTTGCCCTGGGTCTCCAACAGCTGAGCCCGTTTCCGCTCTGGACGTTGGCCTATGTTTGTTAATACTCAGGCACGCGTCATCAACCCCAACTGAGCGCTCTTCAAATGACATACACCCACGAGAACGGCCACCCTTAGTCTTTGCCAAAACTGAGTCTCGGGTTTGTAGATTCTTGCCCACCTGGCGAGCCCTCTCGGCAATCTTTCTCACCCTGGACAGCATTAGTTCTCTCGAGCGCCTTTCCCTGTGATACTCTTTGGCAGCCATCATCGATTCGAGAGCCACTTTGGCTTTATATTTCTTATGCTGTTCCTTGAGCTCCCGGACATACTGGCTTGCTCTTTTCGCCTCGAGCATGGCCTCGGCTCTAGAATCCTCGAGGTTTTCAAGCGCCTTGCAGTGAAGACGGTCTTTCTCAAGCGCCCTTTCTTCAAAGGCCCGAAGCTGGTCATACATCGTGTGGCGCAAATTCGTGAAGCACAAGTTGGAGTGAAACTTGAAACTATTCAACTCGTCCTCAAGCCTCAGGCAAAGGTCGTCCATACACCTCTTGGAATTCTGGGGCGCGATGTGGGTGCTGGTAGAGAGGATCGGCTGTTCCTGGCTTCCAATTCGTCTGTTTTCATTGACCAAAGGAAAAGCACGTTGGTCTGATGGATTTACGCGCCAAAGCACGGAAAACATGGGCTCCATCAACTCAACCTCACTGGCCATCCCGTGATCTGCTTCTTCTTCTCCTTCAGATAACGAGGAATAATTACTCGACGAGAATGGGCGTAAATTCATGAAGAAAAAAAAAGATGAAGTATGGATCTGGTAGTCTGACAAGAACGTGTATTGAAACCGGAAGAAAACAAGCTTGTTCGCAGCCATTTGTGCGCGTCGGGCAGCGTGGTATTTTGCACCCATTCCATGAGTCGTGAATTCTGGTGCGGAAAAAGAGAGCTATGTTCCAGTCGACATAGAGGTTGTCTATTCCTAAAATGATCACAAAACGTTGCTTGGACGAATGCCCAACTCTAAAAACAAAAATGACATTTTGCTTTTGACGATTCCAAAATCACACAAATCAGCCACATGTGTGAAAAAATATACCTACGCGAAGCTGCCCTTTTCAACAATGTAATATTAGTGGCTTACGCCATTTCATTAGCCCAAAGAATACTCTCCATGCGTTCTTCACTCTATTTTAGGGCTGACCAGTCAACACAGTGAAAAATGTATTTTCAACTAGCTTCGGCATTGAAGCGGTCTATGAACTGGCAAACAACCTCCACACACCAAAACTCGCCCGAAGGCTTCACCCAGCCCAAGTGACCTCCAAGATCACTCTCCACCATCGCAAGGCACGGGTTTTTCCGCACCAACCGATCAAAGTCAATGTCGGTGGATACAGTAGGATCGTCTGTGGCATTTAAGGATAGGGTGGGGACGCGGATGTCCCCGACTCTTTGAAGCGGCGACGCCTCTTTATAGTAGTCCCAAGAGCTCTCAAGACCAACCGTCTTGCACGTGAATATGTCGTCCCATTCGTGTGTCTTTTTCGCCAATTTGCCCTTCTTGATGCTGCTGTCATTGAAGATTTCGGGCAAATGCTCTTTCAACTCTTTGGAGTTGCTTTTGATGAGTTTGTTCAAGAACGTGGTGAGACTGGGGTTGAGCATGAACTTTCCCGTCAACGAGCTGCTCACGTGCTTGGCGCTTTCCAGCATATCCCACGGGCATCCGATCAACACGGCAGCTTTCACCAATTTTTGGGCAGCTTCGCCAGCAAAGGCCAAGTAGTTTGCCACGAGGACAGCACCAAACGAAAAGCCGACTGTGTACAACGGGCGGTTGGGGTATCTTTCCTTCAACTCAACAAGCGCTTCTCTGACGTCTTCGTGGGAGAGTCCAGAATAGAGCTTTCCCGTAGTGATTTTGGTTCTGCAGCAACCCCGTGAGTTGACAACAACAAGATCCCATGGGCTTTCTGGCAACTGCTTCAAGTCTTGCGCCAAGTTCCGGATCAAGGGCTCGTGAGACCCGCCAGCCAAACCATGGAAAACCACACATATGGGTCTCTGGTCTGCGGCTTGGTTTCTTTGCACTTGTTTCTCCAATTCCTCCGGGGTGAAAAATCTAGTTCTAGGGTGAAGTTTTGGCGAGCTCTCGGGGATAGTTTCCTCGTAGAGCTTCCGGAACTCCTTCTCGGACTCCGGCCGATCGATGACCCAGTCAAAAGAACATACACCTTGGTCCTGATACTTGAAGATCTCCCTGCCATAATAAACCTGGAACTCGGTTTCAGAGTTGTGCATACCATAGTACAACGTCTGGAGGGATCCGTTGAAGAGAAGGGGATTCAACCATAGCTTTTTGGAGGGATCCAAAATTGGGAGTTTGGACCGAACGAAGTCGGCATACGACGTGGACTGAGCAATCTTAGGCGAGTCCTCGGCACTAGAGGTGTGCACTTTCAAAGAGGAGCGGAATCCCCATTTCCAAAATCCAATGATCGTCATAGGATATAGTTGTTGGTGGCAAAATAAATCGGACAAATCTCACCGGATAGACGTGATGTTTTATGTAGGTCTTCTATGCGGCCCATCTTGATGCCGAGAAGCCGAGAGCCGAAGTCGCGCACCAACAGCTTCTACTTATATCCGGCGTGGTGCCATCGGAGATAAGCAAGAACCACTGGGAAGCACTGCACCACCTGAATATAAAGCGCAAAAATGATAAAATTGTTGTGGCGAAGCACTTTAACCTCAATCTTTCCGAAAAGGCAATATTGGACTTAGTTCTAAAAGACACCGTCTAGTAATAGTAAAATGTAGCTAACTTATGAGAGACATCGACTGTATCGTTCCAACATTAGAAATGACCCACCTAAGTCTCTATGTACTCTTGTGGAGTAGGACAGCTCTTTATCAATTAGTATTGGTTTTGTTGGCAGGTATATTCATCATTGGGCCTGTCTGCTCTAAAGTTCGAATACATGTGATTGTCTACTCCATGGAGGACCTTGAGCTGTTCTCTTTTCTCATCGAAGCCGCATGAAGTTTTGACCGCTCGCTGGACTCACTGTTAGTGACGTGACCACGATCATCCAAATCAACAGATCCGGCGCTTTCAAATAAAGAGACATGCCCCAGTAGAAGACCCAACGTATCAATGACTTGCAGCGGGTTATTCAAATGCGCAGATGCAAGCGTCTTTTTGGCCGCAGGGCCAACAAGCACTGGGTAAACACCGTATGCGCCAGCTTCGTTTTTCGGCAATTCCTTCAAGTGCCATTGTGCTTCAATGTCCTTCAAGGACAGAAACATATCCTCGTCGGTAACGTCGTCTCCCAAACACAACATAAAATCAGGTAATTCGTTGATGGGCGTTGCATCTGGGTCTAGCTTGACCACATGCGGCTCCTGCTTGGCCCCGTGACGGCAAAGCACCAACCGTTTGACAATCTCACCCTTGTTCAAAAATCGTGGTCGTACCTCGACATTAGCTTTGCCATACATCACCTCTACCTCGTACTCTTTTCCAAGCGTGTCCCGAAGCTCGTTTAAACACTTGTCTGCCTGGAACTTCCCGAGCTCAGGATCCGACCGGCGGTAGTGCCAAGTAAGTGCCACTTTCTTTTTTTCGACATTCGACCCAGGGGTTTCTTCGGTGTACCTGCGGAAAACTTCCTCAACTTTTACTTGCCAAGACATGTCCATGGTCTCAGCAAGATTGTACCACTCCAGCCCGCCCACATCTCGCAAGAAGCACCCGTGCTCCGCAGATAAACCGACATTTTTCAGACCCCACCACTTCTCCAAGAACGCCTGGTCCCTACCAGAAATGATCCAGAACTGGTTCTTGGGGTCCTTAGTTAACGCATCAATGATTTTCAAGAGCTTCTGTGAAGGGATGGCCGCGGCCGGGTCTTTCACTATAGGTGTCAACGTTCCATCGTAATCAAATAAAAATAAGCGCCGCTCTGCCTTTTGGTAAGCCTGAAGCAAGCGTGGTCTGTTCAAAGTAGGAGTCAAATGAGTCTCATGTATTTTTGCCGAATGGTCAATGAGATGCTCAAGGAATGTTGAGGTCCAAGATTGGACATTGTTCGACACCACTTTTTTGTAAAGGGTGTCCTGCAAATCAGCTTTTTCATGCTCAGGCATGTGGAGACATTTGTTGATGGTTTTTGCCACGCCCACAGCGTCCCATGGGTTTACCAAGACGGCCTCTTGGAGAACAGATGCAGTACCAGTAAATTCAGACAAAATGAGCGGCGACTTCTTTTGTCTCTGACATGCAACAAACTCTAACGATGTGGTATTCATGCCATCACGCAAGGAAGTCGTGAGGGCCAAGTCAGCCACACGGAGAAGGGCAAGATATTCATCGCGATTAATGCGCAACTGGAAGTGCTGGATGGGTGTGTGGTTGAAGCTTCCATAGCGGGCATTGATCAGGCTCACCAACTCGGAGACCTTCTTCTCGATCTTCCTATCGTTGGAATATCCAGGGGAAGAGACCTGGATTAACACCACTTTTTGGCGCCATTCGGGAAACATGTGAAGAAACATTTCGAAAGCCTGTAATTTCTGGGGAACACCGCGGACTGAGTCCAACCTATCACGGCCAATGATGATCTTCTTACCCGAGTAGCGTTTGCGAAGGGCCCGGACTTTCCGATCAATATCCAAGTCCGAGGAAAAGGCGTCGTGCTCTAGACGTCTCGTGTCAATCCCAATTGGCAACGACTCCACGGAGATAGTGGTGCCGTACGCCAAGACGGAGTTCTTCGTGATCTCGTACCCCATGATACGGGCACAGCAACTCAAAAAGTGACGAGTGAAAGACTCGTTCTGAAATCCGATTTTATCGGCGCCTAGCATGCCGTCAAGTAGCTGCACGCGTTTCGGCAAGCAGCGGAAGTACTCCGAAGATGGAAAGGGTGCGTGCATGTACAAGCCGATGAACGCGTCAGGAAACTCCATGCGCAAGAGCTGGGGCAACAAGAGCAAGTAGTAGTCGTGGATCCAGATGACGTCACCCGGGCGGTAGATGGCCTTGATTTTCTGGAAGTACGCCTCGTTGAACTTGACGTAGTCGTACCAGTCTTGGCCGTCCTCGTAGCCCACGCCCAGCTGGTCCTGGATGTAATGGAAAACAGACCAGATGGTCTTCTCCGCGTACTTGCGCCAGCGGCCCTGGTCTCTCCGAAGCAACCACACCGGGTGCACGTGCTCAGTTTTGGTGGCACGTTGGATCTTCCGCTCGAGATCATCCTTGTCCTCTTCATCCAAGTAGAGCGGGTCGCTCTGGATGTTGTCGGCAGTGAGGTCGCTGGCACGGTTTGTTCTGTTCACAAGCTCGCCCGTCCAGCCCACAATGTGGGTCTCCCAGGACGTTTGCTGCAGCAAAAAGAAAAGAGACAGCGAGAGCGCCAGCTGGCCACGCAAGGGCTCCACGTCCCAGTATTGCTGCTGTGTATCACGATTCAATTTTCTGGTGATCCGTGTCGGAAGAGACGTGACCACATCCAAGATCCGCCCGGATAAATTGAGACTGGCGTCGCCCGCATAGTCGGCCGGCTGCCGCGGTTCCAGATCAGCCGCAAACGCGTGGAGCTCGTCATAGACGGTTTCAGGCGTGGTGTTCATCTAGATAGTAGCGAAAGAAAGAAAGATATTCGTGTGCTCGGGGTGTTGTTTGCTGCGGATGAATGAGTTAAGTTGCGAATATGCTTTAGGTTCGGGCATGGCATGCCGGACCTGCACCCGTACGTCCGGCGCGATTGCGGAGTCTCCTAAAGCAAGGGTGTTTGTGGCCAAAAAAAAAAAACCGAATGGTTAGAAATAGCAGAACCTCTAGCCCCATCAAGGAGAAAAAGATGAACACAGTTCAGGAGTCACCAATTCCCGTGCTTTTCTAAACGTCCTCCGATTTGTGGCATGAAAATAAAAACCAGAGTCTGGAAAGAAACTGGTAGTAGGCGGCAAATCCTCTCTAGGCGCGCGGTGCGGTTGGTATCTCCTTAGCACTGATCGACCCTGTAAGCGCATGTGTCCTTACATGCACTACTGCTGGTGTGGGCTTGCTCGAGCACATAACAGAATGTTCACGTGCATTCAGGGCCTTTCCTGCTTCATTCACAATGCCAGTGATGAAGGACCGAAAAGGTTCTGAAGACTATCGGATAGATATTGATGAACGAAAGCACAAACAGGAAAAATAAGGGCTTTCTATGCTTGTCGCAGCCAAGCGCATTGGAAACTCACTAAGAATCGAGAATCGAGAATCTAGAACTGTATTCCTAAGCACATCCATAATGTATTCTCAGAATGAAACCCAACATGTCTTTGTCAAAGCGAACCTAATTGAGTTTGTTTTAAACCATGTATATATACATATATATATCATGATTACACAATCAGTCCCAAAGTTCAGACGTGCTTTAGATGGGCTGTTACTGATGTACCTCAGCTCCATGGAAGCTACTCAACGCATGGAAGGATACCCGCCTGTATATACTTTCCAAATCTTTGTCCTCGTCTTCGTTAAAGATAGTTTGGACCGCCAAATTGGAGACAAGACGCCAGTGACTACGTTCCACGATGCCATCACTCAACCGACAGACACCGACAGCTTTTGAATTTTTTTTTTTACTTTTGGTATATAAAAACAAATCCAATTACCCATCCAAAAAAAAAACTATAAAATAGTTGATTTGAGAACTAGAACCACTTACCATTATTACTACAAGCAATCAACCTAAGCCTGAGCCTCCTCCGACTTCTTGTACTCCTCATAAGCAGTCAAGGCATCCTCAAAGTGGTTGTTGAACAAGTCATCGTTTTCCAACAAAGCCAAGATCTCTTGGTTGTCCAAGTCCAACATCATACCAGTAATCTTACCAGCAGCCTCGGGCTCTTGAGCCTTTCCAGTAGCGACGATCTTAGGGTACAACTCCTCACCCAAGATTCTCTTGTGCTCGGCCTCTGGGGCAGAAGCAATGATAGCAGCCAAGTCCTTAGAGTGAGCCTTTTGGTTGCGCTGGTTAGGGAAGTAACCTCTCTGTTGGCGACCGTTAGGACCTGGGAAGTCACCGTAGACTGGTGGCATGCCGTAGACTGGGACGGGCTGGCCATTTGGACCAGCTCTAGGCCATTGACCTTGAGGTGGAGGCATCTGACCTCTTGGCATCATCATTTGTGGGTTAGGGCCTGGAAAAGGACCGTTGTTTCTACCGTTACCTTGGAAGAAACCTGGTTGTTGGCCGTAGAACATAGGAGGCATGAACTGACCTGGCATGCCAGAGGCAGCAGCGTTTTGCATTCTCATCTGGTTACGAGCGTGGATTTGTTGCTCCAATTGAGAACGTCTGACGTCCTTACGTTGGGCCAAAGCAACGTACAAAGGCTTGTTCATGACCATGCGCTGGTTCATTTCGGTGATGGCCTTGGTGGCCTCCTCAGGAGTGGAGAAGCAAACGAAACCAAAGCCCTTAGACTTGCCAGCCTCATCAACCATAACCTTAGCAGAGGTGATGGTTCCAAATGGCTTGAACTCCTCTTCCAAAAGCTCGGAGGTGATGGCGTCATCCAAGTTCTTAACGAACAAGTTGACACCCTGGTACTTGGACAACTTCTCCAATCTGGTGGTCTCGTACTGCTTCTTCAATTCCTCAACTCTCTCTCTCTTCTTTTGGGCTCTACCGACGTAGATCTTCTGGCCGTTGATCTCGGTGTCGTTCAACTCCTCAACAGCCTTGACAGCGGCCTTGTGGTCCTCGAAGTTGATGAAACCGAAACCTCTAGACTTGCCCTCAGCATCCTTCTCGAAGTAGAGCGAAGTGATCTTTCCGAAAGGCTCGAACAACTTGGTCAAGTCTTCCTCGGAGTACTCGGAGCCAAAGTTCTTGACGAAAACGTTGGTAAATCTGGCCTTCAACTCCTCCATCTTGTCCTCTCTCTCCTTCTTGGACACGTGCTTGCCGACGTAGACCTCGAGGTCGTTCAAGGACATACCGTTGACGTTCTCAATGGCAGCCTCAGCAGCCTCGGCGGTCTCGTAGTGCACGAAACCAAAGCACTTGGAGCGGCCCATGCTGTCGGTGGCAACCTTACAAGACAAGATACGGCCAAATGCAGAGAAGGTGTCGTGCAAGGCTTTGTTGTCGATGTCCGGGTGCAAGTTCTTGATGAAGATGTTGCCGTCGCCGTTTCTTCTCAAGGATGGGTCACGTTGCGACCACATGATACGGCATGGTCTGCCGTCGACCAAAGAGTAGTTCAATTGCTCCAAGGCCTTGTCGCCATCCTCGTGTTTGAGGAAGTTGACATAACCGTAGCCCAAGCTCTTCTTGGTCACGGCATCACGGCAGATTCTGATGGACGAGACAGGGCCCAAAGGCGAAAAGATCTCGAACAAAAGAGCCTCGTTGACCGAAGGGTTCAATTCTCCAACATACAAAGACGCCGACAGCTCGGAAACAACATCCTCGGTCTCGGCAGATTCCTCCGTGGCCTGTGGGGCAGCAGGGGCGGCATTCTGCTGCTCGACTGGGGCAGCAGCGTCAATGTTCAACTTGTCCAAAGACTGGGTGATTTGGTCAGCAGACATGATGGGCGGGTAAAAAAGGGATTTTTTTAGTTTTTTGGGGTTTTACTAATTTTTTTTGTTTTTTTTTTGGACGGCTTTTCAAGTATCAGAAGGGCTTAGAACAGGCCGGGCGAGTTTCTGATGCAAGGAAAAGGTATGGATTTGCTGTCGGGGAGATTTCTCTGAAGAAGAAAACTACTAGTATGGGGAAAAAATTTTTTCTTCTCACAAACACCCGCTGTCTGTGCCTGTGTGCAGGATGTGGTATTCGAGATCCTCATGAAGAGGTGCCACGTGACTCGATGGGCTCAGCGTGCCGGGGCATGCGTGATAATTCGAATGCTTTGAGTTGTGATTCTGAAACAGTGGTGGAGAGCGGGAGCTGCGGTGAACGGGAACAGAGGAAGTATTCCGGAAATACCGAACATCTAAAAATCCTGTAATCATGAAAATCTCAAAAATTGTCAAAACCACGAATGTGCCGAACATCGCAGCCCTGGACCAGTTGCACCCAAATTAACGCTGTAGCTCTTAACACCACGTCGTTTCGCCCAAGTTGTCTTATGTCCTTGGTATATGGTTTTCCCTCCTTGTGAAATTGCCTCTGCTCTGTTTTGTATTTCTGGTCAAATCTTTCACAATCCACTTCACGCCCGGCAAATGGGCAATGGCTCCAACTGAGCAGGGCATTTTTGGCAGATATACCAAAGATACTCACGATCACCAGTTTTCCGTTCTTGGACTTGTCACCTAATAGAAGAATGTTGGATCTTTCTTAGAAAGACAAAACAATATGCCCCATCTTCCGCTTTGTCCCTTTCTTGAAAAGCTTCACTTGACTAGACACAACAGCTAAATGAAAACCTTATTTCTCTTTAGTTTCCGTAAGCAACCCAACTTTGGGTGGAGCGATTTTATCAAGAAATGTTGAGTCTGCCTCCCACTATTCTTATCTGTTGCGATCTGGGCTGTAGAAGCCATATTGTGTCCCCGCGTCGCTATTATTAACGCGGTGTGATGGACACGAGCGCGAGGTTTTCTGCTTCATGTTCTTACCTTCGTAGATTTGGGCGAGAACCTGCCTTGCTTACAAATCAGTCATATATATATGCGGGCGCTGTGGATAGTCCTGACAAGCAGAAGCTCGGTCACACTGGAAACGTGACGCCTCGAATAAAAGTGACGGTTGTAATGAGAAAGACGGCTCGAATAAAAGTGACGGCCCTAATAAAAGAGACAGGCACAATCCTGAGCCGTGTGCAGCAAAAGAAGCAGACCATCGGCCCGGGTGCCGTCTGCCCCGTGGTTTCAGAGTAGGCACAGCTCCAGCAAATACAGGCACACCCCGAGCGCCGAAATCAAACTGCAACGTGGACCGGGATATAGGACCAATAACGAAATTGATACATGTAGAGTTTTGCGCGGACCACCAAGACCACCGCACCCCGCGCACTTTGCAGAAGTCACTGGGCCACGCCAAAACCACTGCCTTACCGCTCCAGAATTTTGCCCAGACTCAGAGGACATTTCGCTGACTCCGATTTGCTTCGATTCGCTTCCAATAGTCTAAACCGGTCACCCAAACCTGCGTCTAGGCCATTTTTCCCGAAAGATAAGACTGGGTATCCAGACGCGTGGTTTCAGTATCAGATTTCTTAATTCAAGTATGTACGGTACTTAGGATCCTTAGAATACTACTATTCTCTAAACCAAACCCTCAAAGACGAAGGAAGAACGGGACATAACTTTCCCTGCACGGAAGTTTTTCCCCTTGCCACGTGAGAGGTGACTACAGGGCGGATACCACGTGACAAATTGCATGGAGCGCAGGGTGGGCCATGTCTTCGTAAAAACAACCCAGTGACCACGGGCCATGCAGTGCAACCAGGGCCAGTGCAACGGCGCCAGTCTCCTGATGTGTCTCTGCTTGCACGCCGAGGAAAGGCGTTGCTGGAAGCTGGCCGCGAGCGGGTGCTCCGTCAAGATCGTGCAGAGGGGGTATCGGCCAAGTGGTGGTAGGTTGCAGGCTCAGCGGGAGTCATTAGTTGGTTTTTGCGAAAGATACTATGTGGCTCCGAAGAAAGGCGAGCAACTTAAGGTGCTATATATTATATTTCTTGATTCGTGGTGCATGATGTAAAGAGCGACAGCCTCGACGCACAAATGTCTAGTAGATTGAATATCCACTACGATGGAACGTGCCAAGATAAACGGGGGCCGGCAAACGAGCCATGTCACTTAGATATAACTCTCACCTGATTCGTAGTTCATATGGCATAACTCACACCCATTGCAAAACCTCCACCTAGTCCCGCCTTCTAATTTGCACCCACTAAATATCTCAATTTTTATCCACTATGAAACCTTAGCAACGGTATCTTTCGCAGTGGCGCCCATGTAAATGTCAAGCCATATAAGAACAGGCCTACGGCAATCTATCTTCTTGGAGGGACTCCGGCCGACGAACAAATGGATGCACCACGTACTACGTTGATACGGCGCTGCAAAGAACATGGGCCGAAAATACAGACATGTTAGACGCTTTCAACGCCCTAGGCTTTTCAGTCCAGATTACCCAAGGATATACACATAGACATGTGGGCCGGTACCATCTGACGTCTCTAGAATTAGCCCGAAACCAGCATGTTCCACCTCTACGCGAAATTGCTTTACTGGGAGCAAAAATCACAGGCTTATTGGCATCTACAAAGTGGGTCTGTTTGGTGTTCTTGGGGCCTTTCGACCTTTTAATTGCAACCTTTTTACAACAGTTCTTGAGCTTCGAGTTTTAAACCAAATATTCGGGAGTTTTTTGAATTACAATACCTGAATTTTTTTATTGATGGCTGATGTACTATAACAGAAGCATCAAAAGAAGAAATTCAGTACATCAGTTTTTGCGAAGATATATATGCCATTTTCCATACGTATATTTAGCTGGGACTTCCAAAGCCGCTTACACGTGCTTGATAATAAAAGTTTGCAGTTTTCAAAATTTGTAATTTTCATGGGCCATTAAATACGTAGCAACAATTCTATATGTTGTCCCTCTTCATAAGCAAAGTGAATTGACAGTTTATTTTTGTCCAAATAGTTTGAAGTAGATTTGAGAAGTAGGTTTGATTTGACTTGTATTATTTTGCATTGAAATATTGCGAGATGCTGTTTTAGATTCATGTTGTTATGTCACCTACTCCCGTCTCTGACACCGCTATTATTAGTCTGCCTTTTGAGGATAAATTGCAGATGGTCAACCATGATTCGATTTGTTATGTTTTATTCTTATTTTTTACCCAAACTTTTGAACAATGAATATTCAGAAATTTCGCTAGACTTTCATCCATTGGATTGGCCATTATCTGTGTATGAATTCCTATAAGAAGCCCCGCATGTGACAAATCGATTTGTGTCATAACATTTTCTTCTATTATGGTCTAAATCAGTCTTGTTGTAAATATTCCTGCGACATGGACAATCAGATGTTTTTTTGCGATACCAGTAAATCTTATTTCTCTTTCTGTATATTACCAAGCACTATTTGGTTCTTGGGTAACCGAAAAAGACTTTTGCCAAACTAGTGATCGTTAATATCGCTTTTGTAGTAAAGAAGACAGTTAGGTGACGTATTAAAAATTGCTAGAATGTTTACTATCGAAGCAGGAAATTCTGATACCAGTCAAGTTGGGTTAGATGATATCAAAGATTTTGGAGATATACGCATGGGTTGCAGCCGCATATGATGATAAAGAGATATTCAAACAATTTTTCCCAGACTATTTTGACCATGTTGTTTGAGCGTATGTCTCAGCTACAAGATCCTAACAAGCTGCTTTAATCCCATGAAGTCACTTATAATGATACTGTCGGTAAATTATCATGTAATTGAGGATTATGTCGAGCAAGGACCCGAAGAAGGGGCATGCCCACGAAGAGCACGTTAATGATACATGTCCGCACTATTTTAATGGCACATTTCAAACACGTTTAGAAAACAAATACTCCAGTAATGTCGTTCAGTAAATCATGCCAATAGAGCATAATATTTCAGAGAATTTCAGTTTGGATCATGTCTGTAGAGAGCATTCCAGTGAGGAGGGTGTCAATATTGAGCATGCTAGTAAAGTGCAGGCGAAAGGTCCTGAACCTAAGAGTCACGGGGTTTGGGACAGGAAAGTGCCGATTGCCCTGGCCGCCAATTCGTGCGCTGTACTTTTGCGGGTTAATGAGATAGCGAGCGGGCTTGTATATGGAAGAGATTGGAGCAGGAGGCCGTTTTCGGCACATCGCAGAACCGGAGGAGGCAATTAAACAAAGAAGTAGAGAAAGGGGGATGGCGAGCAGGGCAGGCCCTAGAGTGAATGATTGGGATGAAGACATGGTGCTCAGCATTGTGTTTGGCAAACGACTCTGGCTGACTTCTGCGAGATGTGCCGTCCCTGACTTCATTGTAGTATCTGCTGCTCGTGAACCTTTTCTAGCCAGGACTGTAATGGCTGGCGTTTTAAAAAGCATTATTTGTGGCGAGTTCAACAGACTGCCATTTATATGCGAGACACATTTTGGTCTCATCACGGTCGACCGTTTCGGGGCTTTGAATGTAAACCATAATCATGATGTCAGCTAAAAGTATGCACTTCGTTGCCCCGCATTATCACGGAAAGGCTGTGACACTGTTTCTGAGCTTTTTCGTATGTTCTTGCATAAGTAGACAAAGGAATGGTCTTGAGATGGTAAATTCAGTAGATTTATACAACTAAAACCTACGTGACGATCTTCGGCTGGAACATGAGCCCCAATCCTTGACAAATGCATCAAGTACTGATATCCATCTGATGCATTGAGTCTTGTTCTTCGCCAAGTGTAGTAACTGATAATCATCATCTGATAATCAACAAGCATTTGGTGTGTGCATCTGCAGTGTAGCGATGTCTAACTATTCCCTTATACATATGCTATCTCAGGGTTGAACCCACGGTCAGCATAGGCCTCCTAGTGTGTTTGGACCCCTGTAATGCGTTGATTTTCCTGTGTAATTGCTGTTCATTTCTTACTTTTACAATCATGCAGCTCTTGAATACTTCGATCACTTCTGGCAATTCTGTAAATAGTCGCAGGTATTGGTTTCTACTGCAAACTATTGCTTAATTCTTCGAAAAGAGAGAAATTCACCACACCCAAAAATGTGGTAGAAAATAAGCTGCATCATACTTAACAGATGTTGTCCCCTGGGTGCAGCGAATGTGTTCTTCTAATCAATTGTTTAGTATTCTCACCTTCAAAACGATATGTTAGAGCCTCAAAAATTTTCACCTGGCCTTCGAGAAGAGTCTTTCATGTTTCTCATTGTACCCTTGTTCCTCCTCTGGAAAAGCGAGGTAATGTCTGCGCCTCTCCTCCTTTGACTTTCTTCAGTTTCTTTTGCGAGGTCAGAATATGGACCGATCTTTTTTCAATTCAAATTGACCACCGTGTTCGTAAAAAAATGCCGTACACATCGGGTTTCTTCTGCGTGAGATTTTCAAAAATGTCGTTTGTGGCTGAAATCTGTTCCTAAACAACCATGTCATTTATTACGGGAGTTGTAACTTTCTACGAAATCGCGCAGTTATAAGTTCATTCGTTTCTTTTTTTTTCTGTACTTTGCAAGCTCTCCGGGTAATAAGAAATACTTGGGGATTGATCATGGGTTTTCAAAAGAAACCTCAAAAGAGTAAATTTATCTCCACCAGATGTGTCTGGAGTATATCTCATTTTCCTGAGCGAGACATTTACTTTGACTTTTTCGCCATTTACAAGGTCAATAACATCTACATCTGCTTTTATTATTCAAAAAAATTCATCATTGTTCCTTATGTTCTGTTCAGCATTTCTTGAATTGAACGATACTTTCTTTGTGACGCTCGTTCATCGTCTAGCAAGTTCGACATCTTTAACCATCTCCAGCAGTCAAGATGACAAAACTTGAGATTTTTAGTCATTTCATGGGAGTTAATACAGACTGCTATGCATTTACTTGTATAAAGCGGGTTTCGACTCTATGTATTCCGCTCTGAATATCAAGTTTTTAAATGCTTTGTCGACGTTGGGATCAAATGAAAACAGTATGAAAGAAAAAGTTAAGTTGGATTTAACTTGCGGTTAATAAGTATTAAACGTGAAATAATACAGAATTACGATATATTTTATGTGAATACTTTGTTTTTTAAATAAAATGTTGTTGAATGCGCATATCTTACTGAAAGGACTCAGGTACCTTTTTTTGCAATTTGAGCAAATTTTTACTTGAAACATACATAACCACACAAGTTTAGCGTTGCGGATAATTCTTCCGCTAATGAAAGCTCAATGTTGCAATGGATGACAGTAATATCCAAATCACGTTAAGCTACTTAGTACGCTTAGTGGCTTTTCAATTTTCTGTTGTACAAGTTTGAATCTTGGTCTCATTGTCAACTTAGAATAAATGAATTTAAATATTTGTACCGAAGACCTTAATTGAGTTAGTTGGTAGAACCAAAGCTCTGATGTGTTCATTCACATCGCGGTCATGCCAAAGATACTGATCACATTAGGAATTAGGCGGAATAAGTCAAGCAACAAATTTCTATAAACAAATCAAATTGTTTTATTTTAGCAGGCATATTCAAGTGCGTATTCGACTTGGCCTAATACTTATTGCTTCAACTGATGTGTGGAGTAAAACTCTTCAATCAACAATAATCATTTGGTAGCTTTTGTGATTGACATACTAAGCAGACATTCCAAATTGGACCTTCAGTGCCAGATCAAGCAGTAATTAACTAACTCTCTTTTCGAAAAGAATAATCATTCGATGAAGAAGGAAACTTCAAGTGGGAATAATTCATAGGGTGTGAAATAACAGTAGGTTGCAGAGTAGTTGCTAGAGAACATTTACCTCATACCATTGCTGAGGCTGTAGAAAATGCTCAGCATGAAAAAATGAAAAAAACCCAAAAGCATCATTTATCAAGCAATTATAAATGAAAAAACAAATTAAAAAAATCGCTCTTACTGGGCTAATTCGTGCGATGATTAGCTATCAAAAACATAAAGATGATACGCTCTAGTATACTGTTCTGTTGACAACGTCCTCATCGCCTGTCTTGTACGAGAAGATCCGTTGCAAGCATGACACTCTCTATTCTCTGCATACGGTCCCGTTAAAAGCTCATATGTCTCCTTGAAATAGTATGGGCCATATTTCTCTTGGGCGTCTACTTCAATACTAGCAATTTTTGGGGTCCCCCGATGATGCAGTAATGTGGTCTCTGGGCTTCACGGGCCCCACGCCCTTAGATGTTCCTGTGAATATCAAGTCACCCTTCTCTAGTGTCATTATTTATGACGTATGACTCAAAATCTTGTGAATTGCAAAGATCATCAGGCTAGCTATGTCATCCTGCTTGGTCTCTTCGTTAACTTTATGATACAATCGCACGTTGTAGGGATCTGGGATATTCTCCTTGGGGATAAATTCCGACCAAGGCAAAAAGGTGTCGAACCCTTTCCCAATTAACCACGGCAAACCCTTTTTTTGCCTCGTCTTGCACGTTCCACGCAATCGTGTCGATCGAAAGTGCATATCCATCAATTTCCTCCAGCGCATCTTCAGGCGAAAAATCCTTCGGCTGGTTTCTCAAGTCTTTTCCAAGAATCACGGCAAGTTCCACATCGTGGTGCACGATTGTGCCAAAGGGCACTGAAACTGGCCCAGAGCCTGGCTTCAAAATTGACGAAGAAGGCTTCAAGAAGAAGAAGAAGAGCTGTTGTCGGGTGCAACTGTTCAGCTCTTTTGTAAGCAGCATAATTGCGCCCAATGCAAAAAATCTTTCGGGAATTATCAACGTATTTCAATGGGCATCTTTGCAAATATTGCTATTTTCTTGATCTCTAGATGTGCACGAGATACCAATTCTTAGATGTAGGAAATATCTGCCCTAAATCTTGGGGAAGGTTACGATACATTACGAGACTGCGGAGAAGTCGAAGAAGTTATGGCACGTATAAACGACGAGCCGGTCGATTCCGTTGAATTTCCGTGAATTTGGTTTGTTCTTGCAAAATTATGTGATATTAATTTTAAAGAGTCTCAGTTGAATGGAAGTTTTTTGTCAAATTTAACTAATTCTACAAGTGTATCACGAACAACCATAGAAATGTATTCATTGAAAAAAACTTAGAGCCAATATGTTGAAACATGACTGTTGATGACGACACGTAGAGTCCTTTGGATGTTGTGAGCATTCACACAATAAAATGCTGAAAGAAAACACAGTTTCGAGCACGCACCACAAATATTGACATACATGACATTCTACATTCTGGTGATACTAGTGTGTTGTGGCGGCAGACAGGAGACATTCTCGGCTACGACACCGAAGCGGGCGTTTTCCGTCCCTAGGGAAAAGCAAAATCCTTGCTTTAAATAAAATTTCTTCAATGATCCGGAATTGCGCTGAGTACTCTATTACTTATATGGATAAATACGAAGATCTCGTAGACTGACCTCAGAAATGTTTGTCATTATGCACTCTTTGACAGAGTACATGCAATAAGACACACATTGCATGTTCGCAACTTCCAAAATGTAGTTTTGATCTTCTTTTTTACAATGTAATGATCAAAAAAGATTTATTGGAGACATCATAGATACACACACTTTAAAAAAATGTAGACTATGAATTTATGAGTTTTTAGTATGATTTCAAATTGGTATCAGTTACACTAAATACACCCATCAAGTATCAGGGCAAAAGCAACCCCACAGGTGATACTTGTATCACATTATGGCTAGTATTAACCCTTTTGCGTGACAAAAAACCGTGTCAAGCTTTCTTGATTCACTATTAGTAGAGCTACTTGATTCAGGACACACTTAAAGAAAGTCTAATAAATTTTTCATTTAATTTCAAACAAACAAGGTTTCTTCAGTCAACTTATACAGAGTCTCTACTTATATTTGGGGTTTTTGGTTGAAGAATGGGGCAGAAAAAACTAAATTCCAAGTTCTGCTTTGTCCACCGTCCATATCGTTCTGGTAATCAAATTGAGGATTGGAAAAATAGTTCCACGCTGACTTCGGGTCGAAAAAGACCCGATTAGAATTCAAGATTCCAGCCCATTGGCTAGTAATGCTCAATTTTCCTAGGATTTCGTCCCATTCCTTCTGGGCGAAGCTTGCACTTCTCACCAGCCCAAGAGCAGGTGTGAGTGGTAACATTTGAATTCCATTAATAAACTCAGGATTGCTGCCAAACCAGGTTTCGTAAGCCAACTTTGCTTCAAAGAGTAAACCAGACACTCTATTTTTCAACATGGTAGGAGCCACAACCTTGTTGTCGTCCTGATAGAGGAAGTAAAGATTAAAGGATGCTTTTTGAATACTCAACATCAAATTTCCTCTTGCCTCCATAGCCTCGTCTCCAATAACCTGGCCCCACATTTTCATCGCGTAAGAAAAATTGACGTCCTCAGAAGTTGACTGAAGACTTTTCCCGTCCCTCATATTAGTTATACCATGAGCCCATGAATGACCTTGAAAAATGTCGAACAGTCTGAACACGGGGAAAAACGAATCCTCTTCAGATGGATTGGCCACATCTCTAACAAAAGTGTTAATGAAATCTTTGTTTTCTGAAACCCAATTTCCTCCAAATTTCTTGTCAATTTTCCCAACAACTGCTGCTGCATGAATGTAGTAGGAGTAATCATGGTTGTGGTTGTTGTACAACCCATTTCCAAAATCTATGTTGATGTTTCCAGGGTCAACTTCCCCATTTTTAACGTTTCTAAAAGCACTTTTTGACGTGACACCCCCGAATTTTGTGTCGTAAAAAAAGCCTCTTTCACCTTTCCTTTCCCTGAATGTTTTAAAAAATCCCTTCATCGATTTCAAGACAGCCTTAGTCAAAACTTCATCATTGAGAAATTCATCAACCACATACAAAAGGTGTGCAAATTTGTCAAGAACTTTTCCCACAAAATAATGGTTCCCCATATTCAAGACTGTTTGTTCAATATCCACACCTTCAAGTTCTTCTCTAGCAGTTTTACGAATAAGTTCCATTTGTTCTTTCGTGTACTCGAGTTTTTCATTATTTCTCAAGTAAGGCAACCACTGAACCTTATTGTCAACTTTATGAGAAAAAAGGAGCTCATTAGATAAATACCCTTGCATTGTCCCTTTTGTCGTCGTTAGCCGATAAATCAGTTGTGCTCGCTCGTTCATTTGCTCATCAAACAATTCAATATGATGCGGTAACGCGAAGATATGGGCTTCCCAATTTCAGAGGATCCTTCTGTCTCATATTGGATCTTGTAGTTGACTGTTTCACAATTCACGTCCCCAGAAAATTTTGTACCCGTGACATACATTCCGGCAGTTTGTTGGTATACTTTTTCTGTCTCTGTACCATCTTCAGATGAAGTAATTGCGATCTGAATGATAAGACCGTCGACAGCTTTGGAACCTTCAACGAAGTGAATGGCTCCTTCTTTGTTTTTAGATAGTTCAAATGTCTCATCGGTATTTGGGAGGGTCACTGATATCAACCATGTCTCTGAGTTTCCCCCCTCGGCTCGATAAAACTGAGTATTACCGGGCTTTTCTGAGAAACGAAATTTTTCAAATGTCAGAATCCCTTCTCTGCCTTGAATTTTTGGAATCAAGTCCCCATGGTACACAGCTGTAACAACTCCCATACCCTCGACCAAAGGAAATGCAATATATCTCTTGAAATCAGACTCAGAAGAAATCTTAGCCTCAGCTGATAATGATTTCATGTCTGATATCCTTAAATGACAACTGTCTTCTTTGATGGAAGTTGCCCCAATAAAAATACCAGCTCTATGGGGCGGGTTGTAGTAAAACTTATTTGTACCACGCTGTGCACCCGCGCCGCTATATTTTCTCTCCCTGATGTCGACGTTTTGAATTCCCATTCCAAAAAAGTCTTGTTTTTCCCAGTAAACAATGTATGGGTAAGTGTAAACTGGTCCTGTCTGATCTCCCATAAACATGTTGGTGTAGAACTTGTTTGTTTGAAAAGGAATTGATTGAGAAACACCTGGAGGAAGATTTATTGGATGTTCTTTGGATTCAAAAAATGTGGTGGGGTCAGCATATTCAATTCTTTCAAATAAATCATTGTATGAAATACACAGAGGTCTTGATGTGAACCTTAAGATTTGATCTGTCAGTGAAGGCATGTGGGAAGAGCTTGCGCTAGATTCTCTAGAGCTGACACTGGATACCTCAAGGCTTGCATCGGAAGTGACAGAGCTAGATTGTCCTCTTTCAGAGCGATGAGACTTCGATCTATCTGTAATAGATTTATTCCACATTGATGAAAATGGGATGCTGGTGTTGGATACTAAGTTTTCAGTGACACTCGCTCCCTCATACACAGAAGAAAAACCGAATTCCGTCGCAGTCTGTGAGGCAGAAGACAATTCGTTGATAGTAATTTCATCCGGGCCATGCAAGACTGTGAGATGTATAATTGGATTTTCCATTGTCCCATTCACTGATGCTACACCACTCTCGTAACTTGCGGACATAGTGGGGGCACCCGAAAAAATTGTTTCCGTGGAAGCGTTTTTAACATTCGCATAGATGCTCAAAGCAATATCACCTTCCGAAACAGGGGTAAACTCATTCGTCTCTTGTGGAAACATGTTGCTGTATGTAGAAGTCCTCATTTCAGCCAGATGTCTATTCGATTTCATCGTATTGAAAACACTAGGACTACTGTAAACAGTCAGCTTTCTGCTTTCAGAATCAGCTGCTTGTCTCGCTTCATATTCACTTGTCAAGTGGATATCGATTGAGTTTTGATCAGAGCTTTTGGAACTAATTGGAAGACAATGAAGAGGAATTTTGCGTGACTTGGGGATAATAGGTCGGATGCTGGTAGGCGCTGAATCCTCAATCACTTCTCTCCCGACAACTTGAGCGAAAGCTTTTCCGTTGAAAAAAAGGTACAAGAATAAAACAATGTAATTGGGCTGACATCTTTAGGGCAAAAACGATGTTTCTCTCTGCGTTCTTTGGCCCTGTCGTCTGATTCACTTTAAAGATAAGAGGTCGCCAGTCTTGACATTTATAGAAAAACAATTCCGGCAAACCTGGATTTCTGGTCGACCTAAAATTGCCATTGTGGCTCTATTGTTTTACAAGACTGCAGCGCACGAGCTGCAAAAGGCTTTGTGCTATTTGAAGTTTCAAAGGTTTTTTTTTTGATTATTTTTTTTCTTGTTTGTCGCAGTATGTAAGTTACATTTGAACACCCCAATACAAAAGGATAGCGTCGTTGGCCAATAGTCTTAATTCTTTGGAACACTCTAAAGTCCGAACCGTGCACACCTGTTCGTTCTTTCTGTTCTCATCGCTAAAAGGCTCAGCGCATGAATATGATGAGTAAGCAATCGCATTAATCCCATCATGTACATACAGTTCCGATGCATGGATCCTGTAAAGCGTAATGGCATAAATGTCTGTGCAGTGTCCTGGAGTATATATACAGTCCATCCCAAATTGGTGGGACCAATAACTTGAGCAGCTGCGCCACATTCCATTTTTGTTTTGATTTTGCGGAATGTAACGATAGAAAAATGTTTAGTTTGGGACCAAACCTTCTGTGATTAGAATACTATGCTCGAAATACCGAACGGGATGTTTTTTTTGTGGCTGAAAACTCCAATACTAGTTGTATTCCCACACTGCAATAGATCCCAAGGGAGAAACAAACAACGTCCTGAATATAACATAGCAATTCTAGACGCATGATTGTGCACAATTTATCTATCAGCCACCGCGGGGTATGGGTCGCTGAATAACTCAAGTTCTAGTCGCAGTGTCAAATCCAATTAAGGGAACTGGCTTCAGCACTTCTGTTGAGATAGATGACCCAATCACCAGTATGGTGGTTGGAACACGTACTCAAAGGCGAAGACACTCTCGCAGTGGTCTGCTAAATCTGACATGAAAAGCTTTTCCTGTCTCCTTTTCTTCCTTCTTCAAGGGAAACTCCTCTTCATAGATCTATATCTTATGTAAGGTCCCTGGTATCAGCTTGACACTGATGGTCCTTGTAAGCTCATATATAGCTATTTGTACCTCCATTAGTGTGAGTTCTGTCAGATATCATTCTAGACAACTCATAGAATATTCTCTCGAGTTCTACAGGTTCCGTTCACGTGACCTCGGGATAAAGTGTATAAAGGTGGAATAGAACTCCTGTAGATTTCTAGAGAAACCAATGATCAAGTAGTAATACATAGCCCCTATGTCCCGTGAAGTCCCTAACATCTAAATCGATTCTTACGTTACCAAATGACAACTCCTAGTCAGGACACTTCCATCCCTAAAGTGGAAGACCCCTATGTCCTGATGAAAGGTGCATTAGAAGACATCGAGACCGACTTCTCTCCGATGGCTCTTCTGATATCACCACTAGTTCACATGTTTTCACCACCCCATACGAACCTTAGTCCGCAAAAGCCTACTAGGACTGTCTACAACATTGACCAAGGCTCTAAGCAGGCCTAGAGTTTCAATGCGCGCTTCACGCAGGGTAAAGAACTCTTTGCAGCAGTACACGCAGGTTAACAATTGGGATAGTCACGCCTTTACCTGTGCGCAATCCAGCCGTGTCATGCCATGTAAATGGGCTTGGATCAGTCTCTATTCGTCCAGTATACAAATCTTTCTATGATCTATACTTACTCATCAATCAGCATATGCGCATGGTCCAAAAGCATGTCACAACTTGCAAAAATCTAATGGGAAGTTGTGCTCTTCTATCTAAAGCCTAAATCGCTTTCGTAGTCTCAACAAGCTTTTGTAACCAAGTCACAATCCCCATGAATCAGCACGCTTCGTACGGAGATGCCAGTTTCCGTTTAGGATATGTCAAATCTCCTCCGTGCCCTCGTGCGCGCCTGGCCCCAAAACTTACACTAGCTGAGTCCGGAGCAGTACACCTTATATACGCCGCAGCCATCCATCCAGGCTTCCCCGCCCACGGCGTAACCGTATATGCCTCCTGTCATGGACTCGGCGTCCGCGGGGCTTCAAACTTACTGCAACAGCTTGTTTCTTGAATGTTTCTTTTTCCCAGGCTGACGGCCGCGTCATGGGCACGTGCCTCGACCCCAAAAAAAAGCATGATCTGTGACATTTTTTTCCTCTTTTAGCTTTTCTTAGCCCTGGCCGTCTATATATACAATACAAGTCAGTCTACTGAAACTGTGTGCCAGAGTAGAGTGTATTGTGGATGAACTATTTTCGAAAGAAACATCATATGATAGGGTGTCACTGGAGAAATGTAAAACCCCACCACTAACGAAAAACTATGAAGAAAACCCTTTAATAGATCGCAACACTGACTCAGGTCTATTTATACGGCTTTTAGCACCTTTGTGCTTTAATCACACCCATTGTGGGTGCATCAAATTTGACCTTGTCTAAAGTTTATATTCTTTGAGTGGCCATCAGGTATGTTGATAATTAGAAATACTATTATAATTTTTCAGCAAGTTCGAAAGACTCCTGCTCATAACCAATCTCAGCCACTTGAATAGATTTAACTAAATGTCATCGTCGCATAGGATATGTTTTCCGTAGGGCCCGTAACCATAGTTCATTTGACAAGGCGGCAAGACGTACATTTGTCTTTGCCTTCTGGCCCCTAAGCCAATAAACCCTGTAAACGACTTTAACATTTTTATTTTTTTTTTGTAGATTCATCTGATCAAAGGAACAAAACTATATAAATAATATTCATAAAAAAACCTTCAAATAGTTCCTAGCTACGTACCAAATGTCGAAACTCGGCCCGTTCCCTTCCGTTAGTCACGGCCTGGAAGGTCCTCTTGGCCCGTATCTGTTTACGCATTGGATATTACATTATTGGCAACTAGAATAAGTCTCCCGAGTAGTCGCTTCAACTCAGATGGTTGTAGCGAACTTAAGGAGCCCACTTCCTGTAACTCGCCACGCCTTCTGGTGCAGACCTTGAAAATCGTGGTGACGAACCAATTTAATTTTGTTAAGTTCTCCAATGAGTTGTCGGCTGGGGCCTTGAGACCTCTTTGCTGTACATTCTCCCACTCGCATTCTTGAGACCGATAATATGCAGTGAATAACAGTTCCATGCTTCAGAAACATCACTATGGGCCGGTTTAGTCTTTTTATGTAGTCGTATTTCTACCCCTAACTTTAAGCAATTTTCAGAAATCCTCTCGGTGGCCAAGCTGGCTAAGGCGCGAGACTGTAATTTCAACTGTAATCTTGAGATCGGGTGTTCGACTCACCCCCGGGAGATTTCTTTTTGCATTTTGGAAAAGAGCAGAAAGCTGCTTATCACCACATCAAATACTTTCCAGCTTTATTGTCCTTTGTCAACCAGTCTTAAATCTTCGCTGCATAAGGTAGTCGAGAGTGTATCAGATATTGATATTACATCTCTAAGTATCAGCAGCTTTCCGGAAAACCCAGATGAAAGCGGAAGATTTCAACAGTCAACCAGCAGAACACTCATAAAATTTGGTTTTCCACACTCTTGACCCGCAAATTCTATCATGTGCTGTTGGTGTCTATCTTCGGGTTTTTGAATAGGCTCAATCGATTGAATAATACACTCCGATTAAAATATGTTCACCTATAGCTTCAACAAAACTACGCACATCGGACTCAAGCCTTCTTCTCCCCCTGCGACTTGATCCTAGTATACATCGCATTGATCTTGGCACTCGGCACCCGTGCTGGCCAGTACAAGCTGGCGTATGACCACAAGTGTTTGCGGGTTTTCTCGTCTGAATTGTTCGCGCCCGGGCTTTCGATGAAATCACCAATCGTGCCCAACTCGTGTCTTAAAAGCGCGGCCCATTCATGTTTGTCTAAGCCTTTGTTTCCTTTGTGTAACTTCATCAAAGATTTAGCTACGGGCTTTAGTGTTGCCTTACACTGTGCCTCATCCATGCTCGCATACTCCAAGAAGTCGTCATCATCGGCTGTTTCGGTCTTGATTTTCATTTGATCCCCATGATGGGCCTTGTGTTCAACCAGTTTGGTCTTGGTTGTCTCGCCATTGGATTTCTTGGTCTTCGTCTTTGGGATACTGGAGTCAGATCCCTGACTCAGTCTCTTGCCATCTTTCAGCCCGGGGACTTCCATCTTCACCTTCCTTATCCTCTTTTTCAGAGGGGCAGACAGTACACTTGATGCGTCATCCTCGCCTCTTAATATCGTGAACAAATAGTCAACTCTTCTGCCCAAATGTACCGGGCCTGGGACCTTCTTCCCCGCATTCTTATTTTGAGCATGTTTTGCGTCTCCGTTGACCTTGCCATCAGGTTCATTCCCTGATGTCGAAGGCACAGTTTCGGACAGTGCATCCTTCTTTTCGGCAACTTTACCAGGCGCTTCCAAATAAAGTTTGTTTTGCAACCCTAGGATTGGGTCATCTCTAATCTGAATCCATGATCCGTAGCCGAACTTGTGCACACCGAGTAGAAGCATGGCGTCATCTTTTGGAGACCATTCGCAATTCCAATTCAGGACCAGCTTTGGTGCACGCGGGAGCACGAATGTGTGAGGCTTTTCGGCGGGAATTAATGACTCTAGAAGCTTCATGTCTGGAGGACGAGTCAAAACCAATTCAGCATTAATGTTCTTAACGCCCTGATATTCAAAAAGAACAGCCTTTTTCTCTTTCTTCTTGGCCAACCAAAGGGCAGTAGCGCTTTCGCCATCATCATTGGCAACTTTCAGGTCCTTCGCCTTTCTTTCCAACTCAGCAAGGGCTTCGCTTCTTCTTGCCTCTTCTTCTCGGACCAATTTCTTCGACATGTTGATGATCTCATTGTACGCGTGTTTGATCAAGACTGGGTTTTTGTTGGAAATGCTTCCGTCTTCAACGAGTTGATTCCACTTGCCGCTTAAGTCACCAACCTTCAAAATTGCCCTGTAAAGCCCTCTTATCTCACGCTCAGATAACTCATGGTGTTCCTCTGCCTTCTTTTTGGCGGCCTTTCTCCTTCCTCCATCTTCCTCGTCATCGTCTTCCATTCCAGATGTATCAGGAGTGTCGCCTTGGAGCTTTTTAACAGCTGCTCTCCTTCTCGAGTAAATAGCAATCTGGTCATTAAGGTATGTCTCCTCAGCCCTCTTTTTCTCCTCCTCTTTGAGCTTTGTTAGCTCATCCTGGGGGATTATATCGTCCCATTCAACGTCAGCCTTGTAGTCCGTCACCTCGAATTGTTTCAAAAATTCTTCGGATCCCAAATTTGATTCGCCTAGGTCCGGAGTGGTTACATGGTCCTCGGCGCGGCTAAGCACATCATCCAAGTTCAAATCCTCTAGCTTCTTTTGGTTGTCTGAAGCAGCAAACATGTTGGCAGCACCAAACTTCAAGATCTGGGAGAGTTCACTGGAAGTGGGCTCGTTTTTGTTCTTTTTGGAGGTGGCCGGATCGGTCATGCCCAAGGAAATGATGGCATATTCAAGAATCATCTTTTTCCTGGCTCTTTCCAAGATCTCCTCCTCCACAGTGTCCTTGGATACAAATCTGTAGACCGAGACATGTTTTGTCTGGCCGATTCTGTGGGCGCGCGCCATGGCTTGCAAGTCTGCCTGCGGATTCCAATCGGAATCGAAAATAATGACGGTGTCGGCTGTCATCAAGTTAATACCCAAGCCACCAGCTCTCGTTGAGAGAAGGAAGACAAAGTCTCTCGAGTCAGGTGCGTTGAAGTGGTCAATGGAGATCTTTCTTTGTGCGGACGGAATACCTCCGTCCAAGCGCTGGAACTGGTAACCCTTGATTGAGAGGTAGTCGCCCAAGATGTCCAAAATCCGGACCATCTGAGAGAAGATCAACACCCTGTGGCCCTCCTTTTTGAGACGCGTCAAGAGCTGTTCCAAGAGCACCATCTTGCCCGAGGACATGATGAGGCCCTTCAAGATGGTGTCGCGGGACGCCGAGCCGGCTTTGGCCAAGAGGCGGTCTTCTGCACCGTCGAACAAATACGGATGGTTGGAGGCCTTCTTCAACTCGCTCATGACGTTGAGGAGGGAGATCTGGGAGCCCTTGACCCCGGAGTTCAACGCGGCGTAGTTCTTCGTGATGATGTTCCGGTAGTACTCGGTCTGGAGGTCGGACAACTCGACACGCAAGATGCGCTCGGACTTCGACGGGAGAGACTTTTCGACGTCCTTCTTCAAGCGGCGCAAGATGAAGGGCTTGATGCTCAGCTGCAAGTGCTCGATGTACTCCTCCTGGTTGTCGTCCGGCGCGTCGAAATCGATCTCCTGGTCGATGCTGAACCTGCCCGGAGACAAGAAGTCGCACAAGGCGGCCAACTCCTTGATGTTGTTTTGCAAAGGTGTGCCCGTGATCAAGAGACGGTTTGCGACCTTGAACAGCCGCAAGGACTCGTACAAGGAGGACTCTGCGTTTTTCAAGCGGTGGGCCTCGTCCACGGCCAAGAACTGCCAGCGGAACGCGCCGAGCTCGGCGCGGTCCTTCAAGATGTACTCGTAGGTGGTCAACAAGATGTTGAACTTGGGCTTGCGGCTGGCGCCGTAGAACTCGTAGTCGCGGATGGTGCGGCGCGCCTCGGTGTTGCCCAAGTAGTAGAGGCAGTTGAGGTCCGGGGCCCACTTCTCGAAGGTCTCCTGCCAGGCCGGGATGGTGCTCAAGGGCACGACGACGAGGTGCGGCCCGTTCTGGCGGCGCGCGTAGATCAACCAGGACAAGAAGGCCACGGTCTGCACGGTCTTGCCGAGCCCCATCTCGTCGGCCAAGATGCCGTTCTCGTTGCGCAGCCAGAGGAACGCCATCCAGTTCAAGCCGGTCAACTGGAAGTCGCGCAACTCGCCGTTCTTGATGAACGGCGGCTGCTTGCTCAACTTCTCGAAGCGCGGCCGCTGGCTCGAAGGGTACGTGGCCAGGAGGTTCGGGAGCATCTTGGACTGCAAGCGCTGCTGGTACTTGGCCACCTGCTCCGGCGCGTCGCGCGCCACCACCGCCGCGTCCTCCCACAGGCACTCGTGGTAGTAGAGCCGGCGCCACTTGACGAAGTACTGGAGCTGCGAGGTGCCGTCGCCCAACTCCACGCGCGCGCTGTCCACGATGCGCTCCGCGCACGTGTACTCGGCCTGCTCGTCGCGGCGCCGCTCGCGCTCGATGTCCATGGCCTCGAGCTCCTCCTTGGTCGTGAGCGGGTCCGCGCGGATCTCCTGGTCCATGGCAATGTACTGCTTGATGTAGTTGTCCACGCGCCGGAAGCCCTTGGCCTCGCGGAGCGCCGCGTACGGCTCCCACGTGTTGTGCAAGTGCGACTGCTCCGCCCATTTGATGCGAAACTCAAAGTCCCGTCGCGCGTCGCCCGTGGCCGTGGCGTTGTCCGCGTTCGGCCGGTGGTCCAACACCGCGTCGATCGCCGCCAGGGGCTCCTCCTGCATCGCCTGCTCGTAGTAGTAGTAGTCGCCGCCGTCCTCCGCGTCGCTCTCCATGAACTCCGCGTCGTCCGCCGAGTCCACCGCGTAGTTGACGGCGCCGCTGTTGCGCGTGGAGAAGCGCACCTCGGCAGGCGCCGCGGCGGCAGCCTGGCGCTTCGCCCGCGGGTTGGCCCGTGCCCGCTTGCGCCCGCCGGCACTGCCGCGGGGGGTCTTGTGGCGCGGCGCCCGCGGCCCGAAGTCCGCGTCCGAGCCCGACTCGTCGTTGTCGTCGATGTCGTGGTCGTCAATGTCGTGGTCGTTGTCGTTGTCGCCGCTGGATTCCGCGTACTCGTCGGCCACCGCGCGGCGGCGGCGCCGCGGCACGGGCGGCTCGTCGTCCAGCTCCTCGGCGAACAGGGCGGTTTTCCTCTCGCGGCCGGAGCGGCGGAGCCCGTAGAGCTCGGGGTTGGCCTCGATCTCGTCGTCCAATTTCGCCATGGCGGGGTGCGGGCGGTTTATGTGGGGGCCGCCCGAGGGGGGTGGCGGCGTTCGGGGCGCTTCTGGGGGGCCTGTTGTGGCTGGCACCGGCCTGCTTGGCGGTGCGCTGGGCGGACAACCGCGGTCTGCAAACGCCGGCGGCTAAAGCGCAAGAAACAGGGGGTGCTGGCGGCACGTGACAGCGGCTCGTCTGTCTTTGTGGTCTGCCTGGTTCCGAAAAAGGCAGAGCGGGGCTCCGGTATTCTGTTTTCCTTTTTTGGTTCCACTGTGGGGCCTAGTGGGAGACGGAATACCTGCTGGGGTGGGCGGCTAATCGTGGGCTTGCCGGTGCGATTTGGCTGCCTTTTCGAGCGGTGTTTTTGCTGTGATTGTGCTGTGATTTGGCTGCGTTTTTGCTGCTGTCTTGCTTTTCTTGTGGCAATCCCGCTGCTGTCTGTTGCTCTTGGGCTTCTGTCTCTGGCTGTGGCAGCTCTGTAGATATTGGCGGCTGTTTTGGCTGCAGTTTTCGCTGCAGTTTTCGCTTTTTTTGGGCTGCTTTTGGGCTCCGCTTTTGCACCTCTGTGGGATGCTAGAAAAATTCAGGAGACGCCGGGATCAGACTCTGCTGCTTCAAAAGCACGGGCGGATTGTGCCGTTGAATGGGCGTGTTTGTTTGGCGGCCGGTAGGAAAAACAGGTGGGAGCGAAAAAAATTCATGCGAGCGACGGCTCCTGGATTTGGGTGCAACACGTTCGACGCCGGATTCGGGGGCGCCGGTGCAGCGCCACGTTTCGTATACTCACATAGTATTATCTCTATACAAAAAACCCGGCGGCAGAGCAGCAAGACCACGCAAAAAAAACTGTTTTCCTCCCGGCGCCTCTGCGGGCACCACTCTCGGCGCTTCCGCGGGCCTGCCACGCGCTGGGGGGCCTGGCGCCGCCTCGCCGCGCTTCAACCCGCAGTCAAGATGCGCAGGGGCATCGACGGGACCGGGCTGGCCACTGATATGGAGACAGGCTTCCACCGCCAGCGGCACACCCAGCGGACGCAGGCGCGGAGCACGACGCGTTTTCCCGCGTTCTTCTTCCGTCATGCTCTTGGCCCCACTGCGGTGGGGCCGGAGGACGTTCGGGCACCCGAAAACGGATCCTGATGCAGCAAATCGAAGCGCGGCTCTACCATCCAGACGCGTCTCATGGGCGCAGGGCGCAGGCCACGGCCGCGGCCAGGGCAGCGCTACTTGTCTCTGTGGCTGGGCGCAAAGGGCCATGCCGGTCTTCTGGCCCTGCAGCGGCGCTAGTACATGGATCTGCGTGTTTGATGCCACGCGTGCTGGGCACACGACAGTCGAGTATGCGTCCACAGGCGCCGGGTGCCCAGGCGTCCATCCGCAGCGGGTCTTTGATTGTGCTTGCGGGCGCGGCCGGGAGGTGTGTTTGTGGCCATTGCGCGTGCTGGCTCGGCTTCAGCCTGGGCCTAAAGATCGCCGTTGTTTGTGTCGTGCCGAATCTGGCCACATCTCTCCTGGCCATCCGTGGGCGGCTATCGAGCACATGCCCTGAACCCGCCAAGGGTGTGCACAAGCCAGCGGGAGTCTTCCATGTAGGAGGCACTGGCACGTAGGTGTACACAGCCTGCTTGTGCGTTTTTTTTTTCAAGTCATGTGGCTCGGAGTTTGGTGGGGCGAAAAGAATATTTTGGGCTGGGGAAAAGAAGTGGTGGGGACAAAAAAGGGAGTAGGGGTCAGGCGCGGACCCGCCCCTGATTGGTGGTTCGCGCACGCCCTTGGCCGCGCGCGCAGATTGACAGGCGCGGTGCTTGCTTAGTAAAAGGTCGAAATTGCGGTCTGTTGGTAGGGGCTCAATTGAACACCTTTGTGTATTAGCAGGATTCGTTGTTGTGCTTGCCGTGTAGAGATAGGTCCTGTTGTCGTTTGCAGTGTAGAGCCCGGGCCATTCTGATTATGTCGATCTGTAGAACCTGGAGAGCGTACTGAGAGACTCCAGATTTGATAAAAGAATAAATACTGGGGCAGCCGTCGCCAGTTATTACAAGTGCCGATCCACTGGTTTTCCCACGGTCTTCTGCTGGTTTTCGTTCGGATTTCGTTTCTCAGGAGCTCTGCTGGTTCTGTTTTTTTTGGAGCTAGTCATCTGTTGCCGGTCTTGATTATCAGATCGTCAATGTGCTAACTGTCCTACTAAATATTCACAGCAGAACTGTTTTAAATGATCTCTTTCGACCCTCACTCAGCAGATGCTTCAGGCGTGTCTCACAAACGGCTTCAGTAGGCCATCGCCTGTATGCTTTTGTATTACCTGCTACTGATTGGATATGGGACCAACAAGATGGTGCTCTGTGTTTCAGAAATCAAAGCCGAGAAAGAAGCAGGACTACGGTTCCAGCACTTCCCGGCGATCAAGACCTGTCGAGATAGAGACCACTGTTATACAGGAATGAGCCGAGGTTTTATGTAGTGCCTATAATTTGGTTTTCTCTGGCGCAGTTGGCCTGCCCTTTGTTTCATGCTGGCCACGCTGTCCATACCACGCTTTTTCCACACCGGCTTCACTGTATAGCATGGGAGAATGGCGATTGGAATTGCTGCTCACATCTGCTCTTTTTGTTTCGTCTTTTTTCGACGCCCGCAGCAATTCAAGAAAACGCTCTTGCAGCGATCATTGGAATTCGTACGCACCATATTTTTTCGCGATGTCACAATATAGAAAACTAGCTGTAGGACTTAGAGGTCATAATAACAAAAACGATCGATCTTCTATTTTCTCATCGTTTTTTTATTGATTTTCCTTCTATTGATTTTTCTTCATTGATTACAATCTACTTAAATTTTCATGTATTTTACTTTCTTCGCCCCCCCCCCCCCGAAACGCCATGTCCACCACGGAAGTACAAGGATGCCTGCACAAGAAAACTAAGCGACACGGTTTGGGATAGACGGGGTAGCAGGTGGAAATTAACAGACATGGCTTGGCCGAACCGACAGGCCGACTTGATAAATCAAGCTTGAGGGCCAAAGCGGGACTCTATACCGACACCCTCAAGAAGAGCACCTCCTTTTTTTGTGGACCCCTGTATTATTATTACTTGGTATTTTGTGATTTAATACCGAGAAGCCAGCATTGCCGCAATAATATATTAAACTTGCAAATGTACACAAAAAATGTAAATACAGAAAACCGCGACTTCCCGAAACCCGGCCGGGCCAGAGTCCCGGAAAGTACAACCCCCCGCCAACACCACTAAAAAAACTGCAGAAGCCCACATCTGGCCGTGTCTTCTAAGGACGGCAAGAGGGGCCGTCCAGCGACTGGCCAATCGCACGCGCGAGTTAGTAAGATGCTGAGACTTACGCTGGCGGCGCGGGGGTGAGTAAAAAGAGGCACTGAGTCTGGCGCAGAGCTCGGCATCCGCATCTCCAACAGCCATGCGAAGAGAGAGAAGCCGCGGTGCCTGCAGGACGCACTCAAATTTTGGCAAAATTAGAGACGGGAAAAAAAACGAGCCGTCCATTCAATCCACAAACACTCAGCCAGAAAGAATCTCGTAAGATCAAATGAGTGGCAGAGGCAAAGGCGTCAACAAGAACGCGCCGTCGTCCAAGGGAACGAGAATCGCCATTGTGTCCGCGGACAAGTGCAAGCCCAAGAAATGTAAGCAAGAATGCAGAAAGTCCTGTCCCGTCGTCAAGACCGGCAAGCTCTGTATCGAGGTGACGCCCGCAAGCAAAATCGCGTTCATCTCCGAGACGTTGTGCGTGGGATGCGGCATCTGCGTCAAGAAGTGCCCCTTCGACGCCATCAACATCATCAACTTGCCCACCAACTTGGAGGCCGAAACCACGCACCGGTACTCGGCCAACTCGTTCAAGTTGCACCGCTTGCCCACGCCCAGACCGGGCCAGGTGTTGGGGTTGGTCGGCACCAACGGTATTGGCAAGTCCACCGCGTTGAAGATCTTGGCCGGCAAGCAAAAACCCAACTTGGGCCGCTACGACGACCCGCCGGACTGGGAGGACATCTTGAAGTACTTCCGGGGGTCGGAGTTGCAGAACTACTTCTTGAAGGTGTTGGAGGACAACATCCTGGCCATCATCAAGCCGCAGTACGTGGACAACATCCCGCGGGCGTTGGCCAAGGCCGCGGTCAAGGACGTGGCGGGCATCTTGGAGGCCAAGAACCAGCGGCCCGAGCTGTTTGAGTACGTGACCAAGCTCTTGGAGTTGAAGCACGTGATGGGCCGGGACGTGGCGCAGTTGTCCGGTGGCGAGTTGCAGCGCTTTGCCCTCGGAATGACGTCCATCCAGAAGGCCAACGTGTACATGTTCGACGAGCCGTCGTCGTACTTGGACGTCAAGCAGAGATTGCACGCGGCCGAGTTGATCCGCTCGTTGTTGGACCCCACCACGTACGTGATCTGTGTGGAGCACGACTTGTCGGTCTTGGACTACTTGTCGGACTTCGTGTGCATCTTGTACGGTGCGCCCTCGGTGTACGGCGTGGTGACGTTGCCGTCGTCGGTGCGGGAGGGCATCAACATCTTCTTGGACGGCTTCATCCCCACCGAGAACATGCGGTTCCGCGAGGAGTCGTTGCAGTTCCGCTTGGCGGACGCCGCGGACGGCTTGATCTTGGACCACTCGTCGGCCTTGCAGTACCCCACGTTGCGGAAGACGCAGGGCGATTTCAAGTTGACCGTCGAGAAGGGCGACTTCACCAACTCGGAGATCTTGGTGATGTTTGGCGAGAACGGAACCGGCAAGACCACGTTCTGCAAGATCTTGGCCGGCGCCTTGGCCGCGGACAACGGCACGGAGGTGCCCAAGTTGAACATCTCGATGAAGCCGCAGAAAATCGCGCCGCGCTTCCCGGGCACGGTGCGCCAGTTGTTCTTCAAGAAGATCAAGGGTGCGTTCTTGAACCCACAGTTCCAGAGCGATGTGGTCAAGCCGTTGAATATCGACAACATCATCGACCAGGAGGTGCAGGTGTTGTCGGGCGGTGAGTTGCAGAGGGTGGCGCTTGTGTTGGCCTTGGGCATCCCCGCGGACATCTACTTGATCGACGAGCCGTCCGCGTACTTGGACTCGGAGCAGCGGATAGTGTGTTCCAAGGTCATCCGCAGATTCATCTTGCACTCGAAGAAAACCGCGTTCATTGTGGAGCACGACTTCATGATGGCCACGTACTTGGCGGACCGCGTCATTGTGTTCGAGGGCCAGCCGTCGCAGAACGCCGTGGCCAAGGCGCCCGAGTCCTTGTTGACCGGGTGCAACCGCTTCTTGAAGAACTTGAACGTGACCTTCAGAAGAGACCCCAACTCGTTCAGACCCAGAATCAACAAGAAGGACTCGCAGATGGACAAGGAGCAGAAGCTGGCGGGCAACTACTTCTTCTTGGACAACACCGAGTTGTAAGGGCGTGTTTGCATTATCCGGCGGTAGCAACCTCACGAGAAGGCCGCGTGCGCCGCGGGCCTACTGTGCCTGGTCCTCCTTTGCCTATGACGTGCCATGACGGGCTCCGGAGCAGACTGCGTATTGGGCGCCACCGAGGGTTTTTTTACTGGAGGCGGGATGTGTGGCCAGGCGGGGCTTGTCTCTTGTGGGCCCGGTCTGCCGAGGTTCTACGGGAGACGCCGTGAACGTGATGGTTGTTTCTACCGTCTGCATCCGTGCTAGGCTTGGGCCTTAGGGCGGCCTTATTTCGGGTCTACGTTTTGGGGTTTGGGCGTCTGCTCGGGAAGGTGTGGGTCATGCTTGACAGAAGCTTCGGAAGTGTAGTCCACGTTTTGGGCAGTTTCTTGTGCTTTGAAAATGGAGTCCCAGCATGGAGTCCAAGCTTTTAAGAAATGGAGCTTACGCTTCGAAAACGTTGGTCTGCGGCCTGAAAAGCTTCGTCTGCGCCCTGAAAAGCTTGGCCTGCGCTTTGAAAAGCTTCGCTCCTATAGAAAGCTCCCGCCTCTTCCGGTGGGTCCCCATGCCGGTCATTGCTAGAGCCGCTTCGACTTTTCTTGCGGTTCCGAATTTATAGTAACTAAGAATCATCATCGCATAGTGGAGCTCTGCTTGGGAGTCCAGTGGAGCCGCCTGGCTCGAGCACCTGACTGTAGCCTTATTCATAGGACGAAAGTGTACACATTTACTGTTGCTAGAGTGAGCGGTGGACACCGGCCATATGCAAATGGCTGGACTGGAAAGAGCACCGATTCTTATGGATACACCTACCCAGTCTGTCGGTAGAGCTTTGAATATAGGCCACTCCCTGAGTCAGGCTATTGAGTGAGGCCATGTATTGAGTCATAAACTGGTAACATGAATATCGTGTCCTTGATTATCTTCACACGACTAGGACGCCACTATGGGTCTACACAAGGCTTCCTTTGGAAATTTATCAACCTTTGGGTCAGCCAAGTGTCTTCAGCTGAACAAATCTGCATTGTATTGGTGATGTGTATCACTGTTATTACATTATTAGATCACTGTATACTTCATCAGTACACTGTATCTCTATGATCGGTCACTATACTAAATTACTGTACGATCTGTACCATCACTATACCGCATTAGTATACCTATGGTAGATTAATATACTATATCAATGTAATATACCACTATATCACTCTACTATATTATTATAATATACCACTATACTATAATACATCACTATGATATATCACTGTAATAGACCACTATATCACTGTACTATATCACTATAATACATCACTGCAATATACCACTATATCATTATACTATATCCCTGTTTCAATATACCACTGCATCGCGTCGCCCGTCATTAATAGGAACTTTACTAATAAAAAATACCAGATCTATCTCCAAATGATTTAAAACTTCAACTTGTCTACTTTAGAAATTCTAATTCTAAACCTTGTTATTTCTAAAACTAAAATAAATATACTATATCACTATGTTTTCGGTTTACAAGATCTGACTTTGTGTATGGATTAAAAGAAATTCGACCTCAAAAAATTAAATAATGTAGTAGCCTTCGATGAAGCAATAAGTGCCCAGTGGAGAGAACCAGCGACATTTAGTCAAGGAATGTTTAGTACAGACGCAGGAAGCTTAGAATTGTAATTGATAGTCTTGGCAGTCTTAGAGCCAGATCTAGAGAAGAGTCTTCGTATTTTAGATCGTCAACTGAATAAGACATGCATATCAAACAAAGACTATTCGAGAGCAGCTCGTGAAAAAATAAACCCCAAACATACTCACATTTACAGGATCATGCAAACTCCACCTCGGTGAATATTCACGAGCGCAGAGAGTCAACTGAGCAAGTTCGTACTTTATTTGACGCTGCATCACTCCACATCTCCTCTTGCCCACTCCTTCTCCAGATCTGATAGTGAGACTTATCTTCATTGACTGTGTCTGAATTAACTGATGATTCACTCAAAACTTTCCTTCTTCAGAGAGTGGTCCGGTCACTGCTGATAGATTGACTCTCAAGAGCTCTGTGCTTGTCAGCTCTTCCACAACTGATTCTCTGGCTTTTAATGTAACATAGACAGCAGCGGCTCGCCACCTCATTATTATCATAGGGTTAGATCTGGGGCTATCACGATAGAGAACGTATTATGAGAATACATCATTCAAGACCAGCATCCAATTGTTGAAATAGTCTCCTTTTTTTGAATACAGTAAGAATGATGGTCCTCTTGTCCACAAACTCCGATTGAGGCATGGGCAGGTGCTTGTTCGGGTAAATGTCTACAATTTATACATCTTAGTATTCGCACCATATTAACGAGCCAAAGAAAGCAGTAGGATAATTGTATACTTGTCCTTCATTGAATGCTTCTTTAGGCCTCCTTGAAAAACTGACCTCTTACCAGGGCACAAAAAAAAAGCCGACGCCACAGAAGCCCTATTCTCTGCAAAATCGTGTAGCACACTGGGGAACCAGTCCTGGCTAGCCAATACCGAAAGTTTCAATTAGACGATGGTCTGGGTACTCTTTGCGAACTCACAAGATTTGAGCTGACTGTCACCACAGACTTTAAGGCGTATGCTCTAGGAGGCGGAAAACTGCAAAGAAAAGTCTTTAAATCCCCTTGATCGTTCAAACTGATATGACTACCACAGAAGACTCTTCCTAGGAGTCAATAAAGGCGTGAAGAAAGCCGTCTGCCCGATCAGCCGAAAAACCCAGGCCCACTTAATACAGGTACGTGCGTGGGGGCTGTTCAAAGGCTTTATGTAACATGGCTTTGTTTCTATGGAAATGACTCCAAAAAGATAGTCTATCGAGTATCAGCGGAAGGTTCTATATGAGTTTGTCACATTATGACGAGCCTGCCTGACCCGTAACTTGAGTCATCATCAGCACTACGTTCCGCCAATCCAACGACCTCACGTCCTCAGAATTTCTGTCCACATTTCCTTCGGATGTTCCCATACATTTATTATTGCGCACATGGTATGCGCGTACGGCTGACAGAACACACACCAGAAAGATCAGCAATAAGTCTGATTTTCAATGGATCTAGAAAGCTTGCTATTGAAGTTAAGGAACTTATTAAAGCATTTCTAAATGATGAATTAAAATTAACATAAAGTGAAGATGAAATTCATATCTTATATCTTATATCTTATATCTTATATCTTATATTTAAATGATACATAAATAAGTATGTTTATATTAAATAAAATACTATTATTTTATTCAATAACCGTAGATGAAACATATTACTTTTGTACAAATAAATTACTTTATGTAATGAATAATAGTAAAATATGATAGTTTATTACGGGGAGATTATACGTGATAGTTTCCCATCATACGGCTCTCCACAGTGAATATTCTTTATTTCAAATATTTTTTTAACAAGTTTGTTATACTTCGGGTTTCTTTTTGGATATTCTCCTTTTTTAAACTTTTCACACTATCTTTTCAAGAATTTATCGAATTGATCTAAGATAATATCCCCGACAGCAAAGCTGCCGGGTATGTTAGCTATTAGAGCTGAAAAAAAAGAATACAATCGAATAATTTTCTACCTGCCATATATGGATCATTGAAAAAATGATAAAAGGGTTAAAATCAAATAAAAGGTGAAGTTGATTTTAAATGCTACAAATACAAAGGTGATATCGGTCAATGACATCTTAGTTAAATATTTACAATAAACACAATAGTTAATACTTAAATATTGAGGTTATTTAAAATGAAAGATGATCAATATTTATTGATTAACTAAATATATAATAATTTAATGACCTCCAGTTTATCCTTGCGGGGTAATGAAGTATTTTACGATAACTAGTTATGATAATATGATTTTGACTATACTCTAAGATGTAAATACTCCCCTCGTATTATCTGATATATATATATATATATATATATATTATTAGAATTTAGTAT